ATCTCACTCGTTTTCTCTTCATCTCTTTCTGTCCATCGATATTATAAGACACGGTCGTTTCTCCCTCGCAATAACGGTCATTTCCCGCAAGTGTGTGACATCCGGTTTTTGTTCCCTCTACCGAATTTCGTTCCCTTGGACCCGCCTTCTCAGCGACGATCGGTATCTCCTAACAATCGTGAGAACGCGCTGTATCCGGCCATTAAAGAGACTAGTCGCGATTAATTTAGTTGCGTTTAGCGCTTCAATATGACCAACGAACCGCCGCGATAATCGAGCGAAGTTCTTCATCCGTCCAATTATGAGAGCGCTTCTTGCGCGAAATGAGCTTGGTTAAAGCGAAACTAGTCGATGCGAGTGGCGACTGGCGACTGGCGGCTATTAGCGGGTACGACTATTTATCTCGCGCGTGTTCATCGAACGTCCTCCTCGCGAAAACGATTCTATTTCGATCGAATGTGAAAAACGCGCAGTTTCCTGTTAGATTAGGCCAAAGCGCAAACGTTCCTCCGCTGATCTGAACTCTCAACCCGTCTGTACGAGTTTTCCTAAGCTGTTTTCCCCGAACAGTTTCTCCTCCACCGTCCAAAAGTGAAAAGTCCCACTTCAGACGCGATTGTGCTTTTAAGCGCGCTTTCGCGAACCAAAGAGGAGACGTCCTATATCGGCCCCGATGACATAAGCTTCGGAATCCGCGGAATAATGGCGGCATCCTTTCCGGCGCGCGCTCAAGTCATTCAAATCAAATTAATCTGCCCCAAAGCACATTCCATCTCGAGCACGCTGCAGATCGATGCGCGCATTATACAGCTTCAGATGGAGCTATCCATATAAAAAATGTCTCTCCTCCTCCTATGCGTGGCCTTCGATCGATTTGCAGGCAGTGTTCCTCTTCGTCGTCGTCTTCTCCTTCTTCTTCTTCTTCTTCTTCTTCTTCTTCTTCTTCTTCTATTCACAGGAAGAAAAACGGAGCAAACGAGCTCTTTAAAAACGTAAATGTTTTTTATCATTGTATTTCGAGTTGAGCAGCGTTAAAACGTTGAATCATCGAAATGCGAATATATCGTTTTAAGCTTGCATCACGTAGGTATTCGTCGGTACGGCACATAAAGGAACTATTTTCGACGGCAGAAAAAAAAAAGTTGTTTGCGCAAACAATACGGTCTTTGACCAAAAATTTATCTATTTGTCGATTGCGCGCACGTGCGCGTGTATCGTATGCAACGCCAATTATCAAACACTCTGTACACTCTGTACACGCACTGAAGTGGAAATGCACCGTTCGCTTTGGGTAGTTTTCACGTTCGATCGCGTAGAACCAGTTTTTGTCGGCTCGTTTCTCTTCGTCTTCGTTCCTCCGCCTTTCGGAGAGATGCAGCACGCTCTCGTATTAGAGGGAAGAAGAGAAATTCCAGGGGAGAGAGAGAGAGAGAGAGAGAGAGAGAGAGAGAGAGGAGGGGAGTAGAAGAGAGGAAGAGAGAAGCGACAGGTGGAGTACGGAAGAAGAGAGTAAGCTCTGCCGCTATCTCTCTCTCTCTCTCTCTCTCTCTCTCTCTCTCTCTCTCTCTCTCTCTCTCTCTCAACCAACCTGTATCCCCACCGACGTTGCGAGTATGCATTATTATTACGATTACTTATTACTTCCATTTTATTATTCACGACGAATGAAAAACACAATATGAGTTTGGGAAATCAATTTATGCACCCGTTTATCGTTACAAAGTGTCTCTTTCTATGTCGAGACTTAATTGGTTTTTGTTCGTATTAACACGTCGAGAATGAGAGAACGTCCTTGCATAGCGATTTTTCGGCAGTGTTTTCTCACGTGTGAGATTATCTCATAGGAAGAAGAATGGGACGTGCGAGAATATTTCTTTTTACCCACGGTCTATTATATTTTATAACATTTCTACCGCGTGTATCACACTGCACGAGGATTTTAATTAACTCGCCTGCCGCGGCGGCCAGCGTTACCACGTACATTATATGCACCGTTAAAAATGAAAATTGTAATTTCGCAAAAATACTTTTATTTTGGTTTCATATTTTAGCTATGAAAAATGCGCGTATAATGGTAGCGAGATAAACACACTCTCGTGAAGTGAAATATGTGCGCGGGAATGCTTATTGTACCTTACGTTATTACATTCGGTAAACGCGCCCCTTTCATGTGCACTGAATTTGCACTGATCTTTCTCCGATGTTTCAACAGTGTCGCGATCCGAGAGGAATAATTTCTAAAAGCGTCGTTGCGATCACGATCTCTCAGTGTCTTTCGTGTCTTCTTAATCTTGTAAGCGCTACTACCGGTATCGGTCGAGCGAAAGAGGGAGAGAATGAGAGAGCTGGTGGAACTCGCGCACCCCGTATTATAACGCGTTTTAAAGAGAAAATATGACCTAACGGAGACGCCGCAGGGCGCGATTTAGCGGAAAGGAGCAAGGACGGCGAGCGACGGTGGAGAAAAGTTTGCGAGGAAAATCGCGCTAGAAGATGGTGCGGGAAAACTGCGGGGAGCGCGCACGACACACACCGGAGCGCGGCAGGACGAGCGGGGCGAGAAGGACGATCTCTCGAAGGAGGTCGTTCCGTGAATGGCCGGCATTCAGGAGCATCGCAAGCGAGAGCCGAGCCAGCTCCCGACTTGGGCGATATTTCAATTCGCTATCGAGCTATCTATGCTGAATAATACTTTGGAACGCCTATTTGCCGCCGCGTCGTGCAATATTTTTCCCATGAGTGGCGGCGGTGCCTCTCTAAGTAGAATCGAACGAGGCGCACTCAGGATCTGGCGAGAGAGACGCGGGAGAATATTTCGTTAAAATTGCGTGCATGGTTAAATAATAAGTAACCGTATGTGTGTGTGTGTGTGTATGTGTGTGTGTGTGTGTGCGTGTACGTGTAATATTGAATTATTATTTTCTTCATGAATTTGTGTGCACTTAGTATCTGCGCTCGAGAAAATTTATCCCGAAGCGCTGACAACCGAGCTTCAACAATCAATGACAATATTAGCGCGAAAAGTTGCGAAACGTGCACAAGAGCAAAATAATCGGCATCGGTTCTCAGTAAGCATACGACGATCTCACCGCGTTCATAAATCGACATTTCGCCAATGGACAACAAGTTACAAGTGTTCTCAGCCAGTATCAGAATTTTTTTTCGTCCAGCGCGGTGTTATCTCGCAATGCGCAACTCGCCTTGTAATTATACGGTGTTTCTTACACACAGTGGCAAGTGCGCGAAATGTAATCTGTAATAGCAAAGCGTAACAAGCGACGAACCGGTCTTCTTCCGCGGTTAAGACGCACAGTGAAGTACCGTTGCTGTGCAGCCAGCACGTTGCCGCGTTCTGGACTCTCTCCTCCGGCGGATATATTTGTTGCCGGTTGCGCGTATATCTCACGCCCGCGCGGTTCATTGATTCGCGGACTTGCTTAATCGCACGGCGATCAAGACGGAAGGCGGGCGGCGTATTCCGCGAACGAGCAGCCGCGATTTGGTCTCTTTTGTCGGTCAGCACCCCGAGCGAGATAGAAGCGCGAAAGATAACCGAGCGTTCGCTCGAACGCTCGGACGGATAGATGGATGCATGGATGGACGAACGCGCGACGGACCGAGGGAGAGAATATCGTCGACCTCTCGTCGCGCTCTTCTGCGCCTCGTGTCTCCTCTTCGCCGAAACATTGTGTCGCTCGGACCGTGCCGAAGCGCGCTAAAAATACGCCAACACACCGGGCTTCCTTCGATTTCGCGAAATTCCCAATTGTCTTGCGAAAGTCAACGGCGATCACACACCGTTCCTCGCGTCGTGATAATAATAACGTCGTGATAAATCGCGCTGCACGGAATAACGCTTGCGCTTGCGTTATGATAAAATCGCGCAGGATCGCTGGCGCAAGATTGCAACTCATGACTCGCGAGAATTCTCAAAGACGAGCTGTGACGATTTTTAGAAGAACCGTTCCACTCGATCAGAGCTTGTGGGAACCTCAAGTTGGCCTTTTTATCGCCATCATGACCAACAGAGATCACTCTACTCTTTGTTGTACAATCCTTGCAGATATCGTAATTTAGTCGCTTTATCTTTTCGAGTTGAAGAATTCGAATGATTAGAAAGGTCACTTTCTGCCAATTGCTGGAATAACATGAATTAATCGTGGTAATGTAAGATGTAATACGCCAAGATATATATACGTTATAAATCGAGACATGTTTTAAGACTTCAACTACGTCGCAGAGTACGTAGTTTAATCTCTTTACGTCAGAATATGGCCAGCATTGCGCCTCATTAAGATTCTAACGAATGTATGCGGCAGCCTGCCTGCCTGCCGTCTGCCCGCTTGGTTTACAAGCTCGTTTGGGTAGCATATTGGAAAGCACACGAAGAGAGGGAGAGAGAGAGAGAGAGAGAGAGAGAGAGAGAGAGAGAGAGAGAGAGAGAGAGAGAGAGAGAGAGAGAGAGTAGAGAAACGAGGCGAAGCTAGCTTATCGTACGGGAAAATAGAAGCCACGCACGATATCGAAGTAACGTTCGATTTACGCAACTAGGCTCGCCGTCGAAGTCGCGAAGGAAATACGTATCTCGCGCGGTGCATTATCGTATATCTGCATGATTCTCCGATCGTCGTATTTAAACACTGCGAGCCGTGTTCGTTCCACATAAACGACTCTATGAATGTGACCTTTCGCACTCTTTCATTAATTTCCGAAAATATAGAATTATCGTACATTCCTACGCGCGTGTGTAACATTTTTCTTCCGAATATTCATCGACGTCGCTTTTTTCTTTCTCTTTTTTTTCCGAGATATTTTTTTTTTCTTTTTACCGAGATATTTTGTCCATCTTTTCATTCAGTTTACGAATGTTTGCCAACAAAACGAAAATGAAGCATCGATCAGCCTGTTGACTGAGTTAGGTGATACGCATGCTCGTCATGCTCGATCTAGATTTCATTCTAACTTTTTCCATCGCATTTTTCCCCTCTTTGTGATTTCAGGTACTCGAAAACCGTAGTGGATTCCAGCCAGACCGCTCAACGGTACAATCCTGAATTCACCATAACGACGATGTCGTCGACGCCGGCTTCCTACGGCAACACGAACATCAGCGCGCTCATTGACCAATTGAGGCACATTAATCAGGTGAGTACATGAGCCGTAATTTGTCGCTCGGTCTTGAGTGGATTCGTCTCAGATTAGATCGTACCGCTTGCTGCATCGCCTGCAATTTTCATTTGCTCGGATTCAAACGTATCGTCCGTGTTCTCGACGACGACGAGCGCGCTGCGTTCGACGCTCGAGCTCCGTCGAAAGAAGGAATCCGCAAGCGTCGGATGAAGAGAGCACAGAGGGAAGTAAAAATCAGACGTTCCTCCTCCGCTCTTCGTGACGATTTGCGGACGAGTTGAAAAATTTCTTTGTGCCTGTGTCTGTGTCGAATTTGATTTTTTCTCTTACAACGACCAACGGTCGTAAGGTAAAATAACGAAAGGTGCACGCACGCCTGCGCGATCGTAACTTCTTCTTCTTCTTCTTCTTCTTATTCCGAGATACAACGCAAAAGACGACGAGCGACTGAGAGCCGTACCGTTCGATGCATCTAAAAATCTGGCCGCGAGAGGCGAGACTTGTCCCGTGTTTCCGTACTGAATACAGACCTCAGAGCACGTAACGCGATTTGTCGATTCGCGAACGAACGACTATCGCGATAATTTGTTAGTGCGAAAAGCCCGCTCGCCGACCCGTAACATCCAGACGTGCGTACCAGACGAATCATAAATTCCCGTCTAATCTAGAATTATTCATAGAACTAAGATTAGACGGTACGCCCGTACGCGCGCGCAGGTGTCGCCGCGTGGACGGATCTCACCTGAAGGCGCACGTGGGTGCTCATGTCGAGCCGACACTTTTGTCCACGTGCGAATATTTATTACATCATGCCGTCGTGATAATTTTTTTGTATAAATAATACGAGCAATTATTACAGGAAATTTATCCCGGACACGGCGGTCTGCGCTCTCCTGACGAGCGGTATTTTATATTCTACTCGGTGTTTCATTTTTAGAAACAGACGGGTGAGGAATAATTTTACAAAATGTCCTCGCTCTAAAAATGCGCTTGGATAAAATGTTTTCGTAGACGGAATTTTTTTAATTAAGCGACTCGAGATTACAATCTCGTTTGAAGCTTCGCCCTGCCGTTCATCCCTGCCGGGCAGGAGGTGCGAACGGTCTAATCATCGTATGATTGAACGGGGCGATTAAAGTTTGCCTTTTGCACAGGTCTGTTGGCATTTAATCCCAACACATGGTGGAAGAGAGCCCGATCTAGAGGAGAAACGCAAAATCACGCGAGTCTTCCAAAGATTCGTTCAGATATCTATTGTCCAGATCGTTGGAAGACTCTGTCGATTGAGAGTTTGAGATAAAAGATTGTTGACAAAAGAGCTCTCGCATTTCCAAATGAATCGGCGTTTGCTCTTATCCGCTCTTCCACGAATGTCTCGGCGACCGTCGTTCGTCGAGAGTTGACAACCACCGTGTGTGGGTCACACACGCGTAAATGCCCACACGCGTGTTAATTCGCGCGTCGCGGAATCCGGCCGCTTACTTCTGATTTGCAGTATCACGCATGCACGCGAATATACAGGGTGTCCGCCGCAATCGGTCGGTCTTGCCTCCGATACATACATGTGTATCAGCCATGCCCCGATAAATTAGCACGTTCGTCGTAGCATCGCGCGACGCTGATCGTCTCGTAATTTCATAACGGGACGTCCAACTTTTAGAGTACGGCGAATCCGTACAGAAGTACCCGGTCTCGAGTATTACTCGCAGTACTCGTCGCTTCTCCGATTATACCATGTTACATCGCCTCCGTCGCGTTTTACACCCAACGAATTTCACAGTAGCGCGCATTAAGCGATCCTTTAATTAACACGACTTGTATGCTTCTGCCGATGAGTGCCTTGCGTCGTCTCTGTAACGAAACCAATCGTATCATCGACCGTCGGTCGAGATAAACGCGGATACATACGAGTATTCCCAGGAGTCTTGCAACGTGTATGTACAACGCAGCGTCCGGGGACGGACAGTGTGATGTGATTTAGGCACATACGGCACGCCAAAAGAAAAAAAAAATACCGACAAATAGCGGCTAAAGATATTATTGGCAGGTGCGAGCTCTGTTCCCGCGGCCACTGACCGTTAAGAGCCGCGTGCGGACGGACGCGAGATTAAAGCGTCGGTCGTGTCGGCGGTGGGTTTTTAGCGGAATGTAAACCTATCTGTCGGCGTTATCTCGCGTGAAACGCGATTAGCTACGGATCGGGAACAGCCGGGCGATTAATTAGAGACACTACTCGTGTCTCGATAGGGTCAAAAGTGGGTTGTTGGTTGCGATCTTCGGCGGTGGGTTGAGAGTTCTCATTCTTTCACGATTCCGATGAATTTGTGACCACCACACATTGGTGTCTCCACATTTGGAGATTCATCGCGTTGTCCCACTTGCTTGATGATCTCTCTCAATTATTTCTCCGGCTGAAATCGGGCGAATGGAATTCGCAAGTATCGCGTGTACTCGCTTGCTATCATCAGCGACGCGTTTCAACGATCAATAAGTAACCGCTCTCTGATCGCGAGGCTTTATTCGAAACGACAAATACGTAAATGAAACGCGCGTTGCGTCGAGAGTAATTTCGAGCAGAACCCTTGAATAAGTAAGTCAACTCGCGCGCCAACTCGTCTTCCCATCGCTATTAATTATCGTTATTCGGTATCTCGCTCTTCCTTGCTTCGATTGATATGTCCTCGGTTGATGATGACGACGACGACGATGACAACGAACGATGATGACTACGGTGTGCAATTGTCAATGTGCCTCACTGTTCGACCAGATGGTACAGTCTCAGTTGGCGTCGTCACCCGATGCCGGTGCCTTCCTGGGAGACGAGGCTCTAGACGGCTCCGGAAGCGGAGACACGCCGTATTGGAGACCGCACGCCAACGGCGGGATGGACGACGACGAGGACGGCGATGATCACGACGACGACGACGAGGCGTCCGGCTCAGGAATGGGTCCCACTACGACAGGTAGGTCGCTCGCACCCGCGCACGTCTATATTCATTTGCATCGACCGGTGTATTCCCGGCGGAATTCCATTGTCGCCGTGTATCGAGCGTATCGTTGCCCGTTACATACGAGCAAATTAAGGGAAAAAAAACACTCGCGAGAGAGACGAAAAGAAAAACACTGAAGGAAATAATCAAGGTAAGCGAGCGAGAGGAAACTCGAGGAAGGGCTGAGAGTCTGCTACGGTGCGACATTGCGAGGTAGAAAGGAAGATCGATTAAAAGCCGATGGCTCATAAAAGCTTTCAGGTTTTCGAATTGGGCGTCTTGTTCTTGTGTGAGATTCTATATCGCCGTTTCTTTCTAGTTTAAACTAGTTTAAAATAATTCTTTATTCACCCGTCCCGATGAATTTCTGTGGATTCTTGCTTGTGTGTATTTGAATCTCCTTCGTTTAAATTGAAATCACTTTTGTATCTTTTCAGATAGATCTCACATATATTTGTACATTTTATAAAAGCTTCCTTCGGAATCACAGACTTGAATTTGGCCTTTGCTGTCAATCAAGTTGTGCGAGTGAATAACGCAAGGAATGTGAGAAAGATGCAAAGATAGTGTTTCTTTGAGTTCTAGATGTTATATTTACGTTACAATTATTATACTTTAATAGCGATATAGCAACTTTATCCTTTGGGACGTCGCTCTTTTCCACTTACAATTCGATTCGAGGAAAACCGAATCATGGAATCGAATGTCATCGTCACACGCTTCGTTTCAGATTCATCGGTGAAAACTCATCAGAACGGATCGGCCGATGGCGGTTCGTCGACCATCGTGCTGTCGTCCGTCGCTCTCGTGGTTGTCTGCGCATCGCTTATCGCTTAAAATCGCCACGGCGGGACGAGGAAACAAGATCGATCGCTGACGGCCGACGTAGACGACGTAGATACGAAGGAAAGTTAGACTAGAAAGAGAGAGAATGTGTGTGTGTGTGTGTGTGTATGTGTGTAAGAGAGAGAGAGAAAGAGAGAAAGAGAAAGAGATCTTACAGATCGCGATGGAAGGTCGTTAGTAGAGCGAACGTGTCGGAAGGATCCGTTTTACGCGGCGTCCCTTCGGGTGCGAACTTCGGAAGGTGCTTCTGCTGAACTTGGAGGACGCCGAAATCGTATAGAATGCTGTTGATAATTTATCGGTGGTGTTGAGCAGCGAAGCAAACTGTTCCTGCCGCAGTCCTGCTCGAAAGGACACGCGGCGGTTTCCAGTGATATATCGATGCGCGGAGAGAGAGAGAAAGTGTGTGTGTGTGTGTGTGTGTGTGTGTGTGTGTGTGTGTGTGTGTGTGTGTGTGTGTGTGTGTATGTGTGCGTGCGTGCGTATGTTTATTATGTGTGAGAGAGAGAGAGAGAGAGAGAGAGAGAGAGAGAGAGAGAGAGAGAGAGAGAGAGAGAGAGAGAGAGAGAGAGAGAGAGAGAGATGTCGTGAAAGTATACACGAGAGCGAGAAAAAGAAAAAGAAGAGTATGCGGCAAAACGGAAGGAGACGGATAGGACGTGCGAGCCGCGTCTAAGATGTCGCAAACGCGATGATAAATCTCGCGATGTTTCCAACGTGAAATTTTCCGACAGAAACGCTAGTTTCATACAGAAATCGATACCGCGAAACTGGAACGACTAACGTTTCTCCCTCCGATACAGAGAGTGAGAGGGTAAACTAGTCGAGAAATTGGGGATGTGGGCAGAAGAGTGAGAGGGCGTGAGGGTTATCCGTGGAATCCAAAATCGACAGTTTCGATATTTCTGTTCGGAGCGCATTCCGGAAATGTAATTATATTCAGAGATAAAGGAGAGAGAATTCTCTCTCTCTCTCTCTCTCTCTCTCTCTCTCTCTCTCTCTCGTAGATATCGCGCAGATATATGTGTTGCCTGTTCGGTGCAGATTTGGATTTCGCGATGCATTTCGCGAAACGCACGTTTTTATCTGGCCCGATCATTCGGAGGGACGAAGCGACGCTGGTCGTTCCGGTGTGTCGCGCGGTAATATCGAAAAACAACGACTGAGAGAATCCATGTGTTATCACCAGCTCGAATCTCGACAGTGTAGATAGACCGACCGGCGGAAATACCACGGGTCGCTCTGTGTCTTTACCGCTGTTTCTCATAGCGAATTTTCCGGGCAGCCTTCGCTTACACGCGAATATATAACGAAAGAACAGAGTCACGGAGGGAAATTGTCACTCGAAAGTATCGCGCTCTCGTTGCTCAAATACGACGAAATCCTCATCGTGACACGTCAAGGGTCACAAGCAATAATGTTTTATCTATCTCATCGATCGTCGACCGAAGGGATATCGCGTCGATCCGTCGATCGATGACGCATGCTTTTCCGCTAAACGACACACCGCCGAAAACACACACGCGCATTTATGCACACACGCAGGCCTAATCTAAGAGCGCGGACAAAATTTCTGTTCTCAAAACGAGAGTGCATTCACGCAGTTGATATTACCTAAGAATGCAGGATGCTGATAGTCGTCGTAGCCATCGATCGCCACCACAAGCAGATGCGAGACGCGATTCGCGATGAAGGTCAACGAGTCCGTCTCTACCCGTCTCCGTTTATTTCGCGAGGGGGAAAAGTGTGTCGCGGCTGTGAGAAACGGCCACGAGGAGCGTCTCTCTCTGTCGCGTCTCGACTGTACATTTCGTTTAGTCGCGGTGAGTTACGAGTCGCTGGACGAGCCCCTAGAAAAAGACTGCAACCGCGTAGAGGATTCGCGAAGGGACGGAGAAAGAAAGAGAGCGAGAGCTGGTGCGCCGAGATAACTCCGATAGATAACTCCGGTGACGGCTGGGTGTCCCCGTATTCTCGATTCTATACTAGGATGGCGTCTCGTGCGCCGAATGTGGCTGTCGGTTCGACTCCGATATAGACGTTTTCCAACAAACAGTATTTGACTTAATTTTATTCGGATTAATTGCATTAAAAAAAAAAGGGTGTACACAGGAGGAAAAACTACTCAAACACAACATATCAAGAAAGATTTTCAGACATGGTTGCTCCGTTTCGGAAATATTATTCGTGTTGTTCCATTTTTAAGTGAATCAAAGAATAATGTTCAAATCAAAGTTCAAAGTAATGAAGAACAATTGTTATCCAAGAGCTGACTCGATTCTCGGGAATTTAGCACGTTGTACACTTGTGACGAATGAAAATGCAATTTTTTTTTTATCACTCACTCACTCACTTCCGTCCGTTTTTTTTCTAAAAGTCAAAGACCTCATCGAATTTCTTTTCTTTCCGGTGCACGTTGATCGGTTAATAATCAGCACGGCCATCTTCGACGCCGATAGCGACGTCCTATTTGAGTATACACGGACGAAAGTATTTGAACTTCGCTTCTTACGACTCGCGGAAGTTACACGAGTATTTGTTTACTCGAGTCAATCGGCCGCGCGCATATCGCGCCGGCCGAACATAGCAGCCACGCTAGTGTGCCTCGTATTTCGCGCGCGCTGTTCTCCGTTTTTTGTATTATAATAATGGGAAAAAGTGTCTTTTCGCCGGCGACGACGCCGCGCGTCGTCTACGGCGACACACGTCGTCGATATTATATAGATTATATATAAATATATATATTATATAGAAATGTGACGACGACGACGGGGTAACAACCCGTCGCGTCGGTGATAACGCGCATGCCATATACATATATGTATACATACGTGAAAGTTAACTGCCAAAACGCCGGTTGCGACACGATGAGAGCTAATGTTTCACGATGCGACGATTCGCTCGCCGAGATACGCGATCCGTACTAAGTAGTAGGTACACTAGGGGTGCGATGTGTCCTCTCTGCGTGCATGGTGTGTACTTCTGTGATTAAACTTCCACTTTCCTTCCTAGAGAGAAGAACAAGAGAGGCCTTTGAAAAAAAAGAAAAGAAAGAAAAAAAAAACTCGGAAAAAGTCATTGAGAGCGGAAGGAAAAAAGCCTCTCGCGATTCCGCTGATCTCTCGCGAGAAGCACCCGCGATTTTAAGTAGACTGAAATTCGTCAGCGTTACGAATTCCGAGAAAAAAGCGCGCAAGTTGCTTTAGATCGTGTAACCACAATCATTTTAGATTACTGACCGTGGATCGCTCGACGTTCCGACAAATTCTGTGTGTATGTGTGTGTGTGTGTGTTTATTCCTTTTTAAATTATCATTATGTCCGCTGCAAATCGATTGATTAGAAATAATCTCTCTCCGCAACGATGCAGCGATCGCGCTGGAAGTACCAAATTATCGAGAGAGACCGCGTATGGTAATATATATATTTTTTTTTTCCGTTTTCGATTACACTCGTCCTAAACCGAATTTTCGTCAATGATGCTCAGGAGGAGCTTAAGCATTTTCGATTAATAATAGGATCTAAGACTTTTCTTTGTATTGTACGTAGCGACGATGACGTCTCGATAATGCCGAATCCAGAACTATCGTGACTAATAAACGGCGTGTGTTCGAACGTTATGCGTATACTTGAATGGTCGCAACATTGATAATTGACCCGTGTCATTCTGCGCACACAAAATCTGCGTTCACGAGAAAGGATGTCTATTAATGCTTCAGGACTGATGCGACGGCCTGATCGATAATTAAGTAACGCGTTCGCTGTAATTCGCGTGCGGTGATGAAATTTCTCTAGCTCCGTTGAGATAAAAGGGAAAAAGGACAAAAGAAAGCAAACATGAATTCCTTGTGGTCTCGTGAGCGCGTCAATTAACGGAAAATCGACCGACGTGCCAAATGAACGTACGCGACTAAACGAATAATTCTTCAACGCACAAGCTAATTGTAATCGATAAGAGCGCGAATTCGCCTTGAACGATGCGAGTGCATCGAGGTCTTTAATATTTTTAGTCGCAGGGTCGCATTACGCGTAGAAAGAACGCAAGCGTGTCAGATCTTCTCTTTATCTTTGACTTGTACTTTGACATTTCTACCGTGTATTTTTGATTTAAGAGCTAAAATAGTGGCCCTCTCACCGCATATACGGTGGTGTCTTCTCTCTCTCCCACGTGACCGCAGACTTTTATACCCTGACTGTATGATACTTTTTCTAAAGAGCGCGCATTGAGATATCGCGTCGTCGACGATTCACGGTCCGTGACTCGACGGTAGTGACGGTAGCTGAAGCGCCAGCAGCTCGCGGATTCTCCCCCGAGTCTTCGCGGCTCATCTCAGTATATTCAGAGCGTTCCATGACTAGCGCGAGATGTAACGCGGATCGACGACCCGCGATCGTTCTCGATAGTGCTACATACCGACGACACGACGACACATTTATAATCCCGAGCAAGCGCTATCCGCTTGACTATTAGGGGACTATATTGTCCGATCGCTTTCTCGTGCAAGACTCGCACATTCGATCGAAAAAACAACGTCGAGGGCGAATCGCACGCGATATTATCGCCATATAACCGAACTTGCGAAGAACCGACCGTCTCCTCGTTCGCAAGATGCTCTCGAACCCGGGGTGGTTCGTTCAGTCGATTAGGCTGGTAGTTCCGAGCTGAACGCGATACCGTGACACTTGTTGGCCGAAATAATCTTAATTGTAAAGTTAGTGTTGAGTATATTCATATCACTGTGCGTCGTGCAAGTCACGACTACTAAATTGTTAAAATTTGCCGACGATAAATTATTGTAAATTATTCGTATTGATAGTCGTTATTGCGTCTTTATTCGATGAGGAGATTAATGTAGAGTAACTTATTTCTTAATTATAGCGAGAGAAATGTGATTCTTCTATCGATTAGTTGAAGCGGGAGAAATGTCACGATATCGCGCGTCTCGTTAACGTTTGCCCCGATTGACGTTAGACGATGAGTTACTGTAAGAAAGTAATGGTAGAACTGGCGACGCGACAGGACTCCGCGCTGGGTTCCTCCAAGCAGGTGGAGGTCGTCCGCACGACTCGACGCTTCGGCAGCCGTATTCGTTTTTGTACATTTAATTTCTTCGAATCTTTGAGGGGTGAGTGCCTTTCTGAATATCCTTGGGCCGTAGTGTTGCGTCGTTGCTCTTCAGACGAGAGGAAGAGCAGCAAACCGACGACGGCCACCTGTGAACAAACGTGCGTAAATCAAGGCACTTTCTCGTTGTGTAACGTACGTGTGCGTGTGTGTGTGTGTGTGTGTGTGTGCGCGTGTGTGCGTGTGCGTGCGTGCGTGCGTGCGTGCGTGCGTGCGTGCGTGCGTGCGTGTGTGTGTGTGTGTGTGTGTGTGTGTGTGTGTGTGTGTGTGTGTGTGTGTGTGTGTGTGTGTAAGAGAATTAATAAAAGAGGGAGAAAATAAGAGAGCGCAGTGTGTGAAAACAAGGCCTTCTTCTTCTCCTTTTGTAACTTTTTTCGCTATATACTCGCCTTCCTAACATTTGTACGCGAGCTCTTCGAGGATATTTAATGCAATTTTGTAAATCGTAAATTGTGAATTCGCATCGTCAAGATACAGCACCTTTGCACTTTGCGCAGGCGAAGAAGCAGGAGGATCTCGAGATGCTTGAGAAGTTGCTTGGAATTGCAAGAGTGAATGAGTGAGTGAGTGAGAGAGCGAGAGAAAGAGAGAGAGAGAGAGAGAGAGCCTTGTCGAAATTTCGAACTTTGATTTCTCGCTTCTCGCAACTACGAAACGAAACTCTATTCTCGAGTTCACTTATCCGTCGGAAATAATTACGGAAATTGGTGCTACTCGGATCCGCTTGAGATTACAGCGTTCAATTAGGTCACTTAAATCCATTCAGTGCCCAACCGGGCCCGATATCCGCTCAATCCGTCGTAATCACGTCGTCCGCGCGCCATTGTCGACAGGTTCTTTTCAGAGCGCTAATAAGATCGAAAGCCGGTGAGCGGCGCTCGGCAATGGCAAAGCAGCTATATCTCTCGCCGCTACACCAAAGAGCCCTAATTCGGCGTGGGCCAGGCGCGCAATTGTTCGAGCTTACCGTCGGTAATTCTTCAATTCCGTGAGCGGCCTTTGTCGGGGCGAATTTAGGCAGCGCGCATTCACGCTACCGGAACGTGAACGCGCGCGTAGGTCGCGCACTTGACGCGACTCCTTGGCCGTGCATGACAACGACGACGATGGTGACGACAATGCCGCTCGACGGTGCTGAGGGTCTTCGACCTCGTTGAACGCGACCTCGCGTTGTCAATGATCGCCAATGTCTGACGTGTGACGCGGAATAGTAGAATCGTGAAATCGGGGCATGTGTATCAATATATTGATAGATTTTTAATACGAGAGATGAATTTTTGCGTTGACGCTGCAATGGTTTAATTTCAAGCAACGTCTGATGATTAGCTCTCTCGATTAACGGTCCTAATTTTTAACGGCTCTAACGAATACGACGACCTGCTGCTTCTTTGCCGTTGAAATTCGCGAAATTGTCGCAACGTGAGAATAAGAGGAAGGGGAAGAGCAAGCGTATACGGGAGAACAAGAGTACGAGGATATAATGGGAACACGGGAATGAAAATGAGAGAGAGAGGGGGGAGGGAGAGAGAGAGGGAGGGAGAGAGAGAGAGAGGGAGGGAGGAGAGAGAGGGAGGGAGGGGGGAGAGAGAGAGAGAGAGAGAGAGAGAGAGAGAGAGAGAGAGAGAGAGAGAGAGATAACGAACAAAATGGGAAATGCGATGAAACAACATAGATTTGTAAATATAACGAATGCCTGCTGTATTTATATAGTTATACGTTAAATATATCGACCTAAATGAAAGTAGCAGCTAATAAAGCAACTGAAGTAATTATCGAGAAATTAACCGTTAATTATAACGTTATAGCGAGACTAATTATTATATGCGTAAAGGAAACGTGCGCGAACGTGTGTATGTATGTGAGTGTGTGAGCGTATATATGTGCGCGCGCGCGCGTGTGTGTGTGTGTGTGAGAGAATGGAAATAAGCAGAGGATGATGAATAAAATGTTCAAACGGTCGATAAATAATCAAATTTTTCGTCAGAGCCTATCACGTATCTCGTCGCCATTTTGCCTCCAACGAGACAGAGTTTGTCTGCTCTCGTTATCTTTATCTCTCGTTTTCTTTTTTTTTTTAATCTTAAGCCTATAGAAACAAGAAACGGTCTAAATATGTATGTGAACGGTTTTATAACGTCTCATCAAATTACTTTGTAATTATATATAGAGAAAACGGGGGGAGGAGAGAGAGAGAGAGAGAGAGAGAGAGAGAGAGAGAGAGAGAGAGAGAGAGAGAGAGAGAGAGAGAGAGAGAGAGAGAGTCGCGCGCGCATGTGTGTGTGTGTGCGTAAGAGAAAACGTTTCGACTATACTGTAACAATTGTTAGCATAGTATGATGCGTATTTTATCGTACACTAACAAAACCCGCTATTTCCTACGAAACTATTGCGTTACATTTAGCTATTTAATGCGTTCTGCAATATTTATTGTTGCGCCTGCGTTTACTATGTGATATATAGGGCTACTTATTATTGTCGTTATTAATCGCGCACTCGATTTCGAAACGACCAATCGGGCGATTCTCTCGACGCGAATCTCTCGCAGCGTCGGGGCGAAAGGCGAAGCGTAACGATTGAGGCCTATATTGTTCAAGTCGTTATTTGGAACTTTTTTGTTTCACACATGACATATTCAAAACTTGAATTCAGAACCAAGTATGAATTTATCATTTGAATTGCGATTGCAAATGCAATATTCGTGTATCAGGTTCAAAAGATTCAAATTTGACCTTAAATTCAGGCCTCGAGACAAGTCTCAAGTTTCGAATATCAATGCATGCTAACGATAACGTAATTCTGATCGTTGGACGCGCTGTCAACAATCGCGATACATTCAATTACGAGAACTTGTCGCGCCCCGGCTGTATTTTAAATTCTGTGATTCGACGTCCCTGTTCGTAATGCTTTGTTGTTTCTGATCGCGGTCGCGATTCGCGTTAAAACTTCTCTTTCGAGTGACTGACTGTCGCTCCTCGCGACCGTCAGTCGCGAAAAGATCGACGATATTTCACCTATGGAGATGCGCCTCCGCTTCTTTCGCCTCCTCCTTCATTTATTCCTTCGTATCTTACGGAAGATTGACGGGAGTTGAGTTGCTCCCTCTTGTCTCTATTTAAAAACGCATTGTGACAGCTTTTTAATTGACGAGCGAATTTTCTTCGTTCTTCCAACAAAATTGGAAACTGTGACTGACACAATGGTGCGCGGCGGGAAGATGTAGTGTATACCAAATAGTTCCGATCGGTCCCCCGATGAAATTGTCACTTGAAATTGAAGGGTGATGAGAGAGTGTTGGTAAAGCAAGCGTGAGAAAGGAAAAAAAAGAACAAGAGGGAAAAAAGATGTAGCGGACGACGACGAGTGCGAACGATATACATGTGTGTATATGTATGTACGTATGTAACATACCGTGTGTTTGTGTCTGTGCATACGCACGTACACATGCGCACTCTCATACATACACATACACGTGCGCGTGTGCATACAGGAACGCGCGCATTACTTATAAGTGTTACGAGAGATTAAGCAAATTATTAATTATTATCGCGGTTGATTATATTATATACGTCGCGCGGCGGCGCGCACGCGCCCGATCGGCGACGGTGTAAAAACTGTTTATGAGTGAATGGCGAATAAAAATATTATACGATCATACGAGTCCGCCTGTGTCGGTGCGTTCCGACGTAATTTGTCTCACTGAAATGAGCTTAACAAGTGTTGTTAAGATAATTGTTCTGTTATTATTTGACGTTTTATTAAAAACTGCTCGTTTGCTATTGCGCACGGGAACGCATCGTAGCCGCTAAATATCACTTATTATCAGGCATTTGTCGCACGAAACAAAAAGAAGCTCGAACTCAGAGTTTGCTTTCCATCTAAATTTACGTCTACGTTTAATTATGCGCGCCGAGCGACCGATGGATAATGATGCTCAATGAATTCTCGCGTTTCGCTTCTCACATCGTAATCGTTTATTGCTGCTATTGTAATTACAATAATCTGCACTTTTTATCACGTACTGCGTATAATATAAATATCTGTAACGTGGCAAATCGCGCGCAGTAGTGGTGGTGTACTGCATCACTTTTTCGAAAGAAACCTCTCTCGCGTTCGCTCGCGGTTTACAAAGTGCGACTTATTGTCGTCATATGAATGTCACTTGAGCGATGTTGGAATATTTACAATGAGGTGCTTTCTCCTTCTTCTTTTTCTTTTTTTTCTTAATCTTTCTCTCGGTTGTGTCCAGCACTGAATCTTGTGTACAACTCGAATCGTTTGGATTTTTACCGCCAAAAGAGTGGAGAATCGAATGTATGAAAGTCGCTAGATGCTCTAGACATTGCATTACATTTTCTTTCTTTTCTTTTTCTTTTGTGGCAAAGTACAAAAATCTTAGTTATCGTAGTACACTCTACAAATGTTGCTTGGAATCCATTAATCGTCGTGTGAGAATAAAGAGAAATCCGCGTACGTAGCGCGGATTTCTCTTTATAACGTTTTTAAAAACGTTCGACGCGTGGGCTCGTCTCTGTTTGCGTTACTATTTGGCGATCCTTTACTGAAATCCGGTCGTTTGGGAGGCAACACGTCGCGAAATTTCCAAAAAGAGAAGCCAGTCCTCCGAAGGATCCTCTCGATTTCCTCATCCAGACTCCAATATCCTGCTTTCTCGGAAGAGCTGCCACGGTAATTCACTGTTCTTCGCGGTGAACGTGCGCATCTGCTCTGTCTGTCTGTCTGTCTGTCTGTCTCTCTCTCTCTCTCTCTCTCTCTCTCTCTCTCTCTCTCTCTCTCTCTCTCTCTCTCTCTCTCTCTCTCTCCCTCCCTCCCTCCCTCCCTCCCTCTCTCTCTCTCTCTCTCTCTCTCTCTCTCTCTCTCTCTCTCTCTCTCTCTCTCTCTCTCCCTCCCCCCCTCCTTCGACTCGGCACAACTTGACGGTTTTCGACGTCAAGAGATTGTCGCTATTTACTCTGTGCCCTTAGTCCATTCTCCGTTCCTCCGGACAGTCTAAAAGTCCGATAACAATGCCGGCAAATATCGCCGATCCGCTCTCGTCCGAAACACACTACTCTCTCCGTCCACTGTCGGGACATCGCTGAGAGTGACCACACATCGATTCGGTCTTCGATCTCAGGAGAACGACTCTCTACAGCATCACGCCAACGTGAGAGTTCTCTCGTTCGAGACCGTCGAGCTTACGATGTACGAACGATTCCAGTAAGTTGGTCAAGTTCTCGATACCTTCTAGGTAATTCAAATCCAAGGAATTATCGTCGTCCGCCGGGAAGACGTGCGTGAAGTCAATCATGTTTACTCTCACCCAATCGCGCTCGTCCTTGGTCGACGTGATCGCCGGAACTCTGGACCGATACAGCCGGCGATCAGTCTGCGTGTCCGAACTGCAAGATCCGCTCTGATTAGATACCTTTTCGTCCTCTATCGTCTCGATAGAGACGAATCCTGTGCTGAGACTTACGCTCCTTTTGAGCGGACTCGCCGACGGCACCTCTGTTCGACTTCTCTTCACTGTTCTCTCGGTGGGAACAGAAACGGCCGGCGACAAGTGGGGCGCATTCGCGCTCGAGACGACGGTGCGATTGCACGACGCGGACTCACTCCTGCCGTCGGGATCATCATCGTCGTCGCCGTCGGGAGGACAGTGCCGTAATCTCTGGGCGTCATAGGCTACCAAGAGCGAACTGGAGTAGAAACGATACTTTCGTTGCGTGCGAAAGAACAGCATGATCTGACACAGGATCGACAGGAGCTTGGTGATCAGTGGTCGACAAGTTGGCTTCTCGGGTGTTATGTTTAGAAAAGTTTCCAGCGCTGCGTGAAGACAAGAAGAACAAGGTATTTAGAACGCGGTTCCAAAATGTCGGAAGCTTATTAGGAATTTAACGCTAAATCGTAGAACGTCGCGAATTTGATTTTTCCTTTTCTTTCTTTTCGACACCGTATTGATTAATTTGTCATTACCTCTAGAATGCCGACGTGTTAGCGGAATCATCAATCTATAGTTTTGCGTATAGTGCAATCGGAAAATTGTACGAAGCGATGTTACGACAGCAAACCGAGAAGAATACGCATTTGATTTAGAACAGACAGATATGAGATTTACTGGGAATCGCTTATAATAATTCTTTCTTTCGTCGGCGTTCCAGAGAATAAAAATACTGTTGGATAAAATTTGCAGGTATTCACATCTATACGGGCGGCGACTGCTTTCCCATTGATATTCATAAATCGAAAAGCACGCTAATTTTGACTTTCGACTAATCACCAGTGAGTTAAGGGGCTCGTGTGCTTAACCTTAGCCGTAGCCGAGTAGCGGGCGATTGTGACACGCTACCTCGGTTACTTAAGAGCGACTAGAACGAGAGAGAGAAAAAGAGAGAGAGAGAGAAAGAGAGAGAGAGAGAAAGAGAGAAAGCTCACTAGCTCCCTATGTCCTGAAATAAACTCTCTAGTACTCGTGTGAATCCCGTACATTCGCTTTGCGCCGGCGTAACAGTCTTATATTTTTATCGACTTCGTATATGTCTCCTAAAAACTCTAAAGCAGATACCTTCTACGACGCCCTTGGCATCGAGTTTCTTGCCATAATCTCTGTCAAATTTTTTTAATCGTCCAGTGGAGAGACAATATACTTGAAAACCGGTTATACAAAAACCATAAGCACGCTTCGATTCGGCATACTTGAATTCTTCCGTTGCCCTCTTCTCTGGCGTGGCTAAAGGATCCCACGTGCGACGGCCGATCTTGATATCCATCACACATGGCTCGGCCATGCCCTCCGTGATATCCTTAAGCGTGAGAAACTTCGTACCTGCATATCGAATCATTAGCCATTAGCGACAACTGAACAATATAAAAAATGCAAGAAAAAAAAAGCGACAAGACATTCCTGATTGGTATTAAATTAATAAGGAAATTCGATTCAACTCGGTTCTGAATTCTTTTCGACTGTAAATCAGTTATCTTTCATACGATGACGATTACTCTTGGTCGATGAATAATTAATTTCCGTCGAATGCGATAAAATCAAATTTCACAGAGCATTGAACCGGATTCTCCGACTGACGTTTCGGTTACAATACAAATGAGGAAATATTAAGCATTGAAATATTTACTCGAATGAAAATTTTCCTTAGTTATGAAAGTGTTGTTGAAGCACCTGTTTGCGAGTAAAGTCGGGTAGCTTATCTTACGCAAAAGACCGACGTACCAGGATTATTGATAAAAAGCCTTACGTTTATTGAAAACCCTCAACTCTGTCGTGCCATAGTAACACGGAACAAAACTTTTCAGTTGCGCCGTTGTAGGATCCTGGGAAGTCTGCAAGTTCTCGTAAAATGCTATTTCTCTTTCCCCGAGGATCGCTTTAGTCGCCGGTTTCAGTACGTGCCCGTTTGGTCTGCGGAGCATACCTGTGATCGCAAATAACCCACCGTCAAATTACAAAGTATACGGCGCATATTAATACTATTGATGAACAATACGTTATGATACGATACAATATCATACAGTGCAATGCAATGCAATGCAATGCAATGAAATGTGATACGATATCGTATAAATGTAATGCAATACGGCTAAAAATTATATTTGGCCCGTAATATGTAATGTCAATATATTTTAACGGGTAATTGCGTTTCAGGTGTCTCTGCTTTTATAGTCAACATCTCTCGCTTCAAACCACGAAATATGTGGGGGACTCGACCTCGCCGCCCGATACACCTTTAAAACACACTGGGTGCATGCAAAAATGTGCAGTGCAAATAAAAGATTAAAGAGTCAAACAATCGCCCGAGCGAATTAGCTCGATGCAAAAGTGCTCATGCGCCTCGCATTTTCCTCCAGCTATTTTTCCACTTCTATCTCGAATCAGACGCCCAGACGTTATTCCTGTTGTTGTGCAAAGGCTTCTCTTGAGATTTACACTTCTTATCGATACAAATGAAATCGTGGAAGCTATATTTGCGGCACTTCTTATTATCACGCGCGTTATTATCGATCTAGTATCGATCGTTATAGAATATAAATAGGAAAGAGGATAAGAAAATTGTTACACACATATTTTCGTTGGAACTTATAACATTGTATCTCGGGTGATTTGCGTGATAAAACTTTGTCTTCTGATTTCTAACTAACTTCTTCATAAATTCGCGCACCTCTCGACGCATTCTTTCTTTTCTTTTTCGTAAATCGCCGCGCTCACCGATCGTGTGCCTTTCGCCGTCGAACGGATGACCGGCCATCTGACACTCCAGTGGACTCAGCCCGTCGGGGAACGTACACCTGGATGATCCGGGAGTCGAACTATCCCATTCCACGTGCGGCAGTTTATCGAGATGGCACATGCCTTCGTCAAGCTGCGAGTCCAGGGTCGTCATAATTAATAAACGAGCGTCCGGCTGGCGATGAGGCGGTTGGTTCTGAAATTAGACGGTTGCGCGATGCTCACAGATCTCGTCGGAGACGTCGGAAAGCGGATCGAGAAACCAGTGCGATTTTGATCTCGCCGGCAAACGGCGAGAGTTCGATTTCTGGTCCATAGAGTGCGAGAACGCGACGACTGTACGGTCGAAGAAACGCGCGAAACGAAGAACGACTACGTTCTTGCCAAGTGGCAACTGGACTCACCGAAATTACACCGGTTTCGATTTTCCTCGGCGTTTTATTTGCGTATTGGATTTTTTGTCCTCGCGTCCCGTCGCTGCGATTTACGGAGCAGCTGTTTAACTTGACTCTACTCCTCTCTGCGCGGACTGATTCCTCCTTTCCTCTCCTCTCCTCTCTCCTTCTCCTCCTCCTCCTCCTCCTACCGTTTGCTGTCTATCCCTTTATCTCTTATCACTTGATCCGTTACTTTACTTATCCCAGTGTAAAGTTTGCCGAACGCTACGATAATTTATAGTCGTTAATTAACGCGACGTGTCGATCGGCACAAGTATTCGATCGATCTTCTCGCTCTGTCTAATCGTCATGATTAGACAGAGCGAGTCACCAACACGAGCTTGGTGCTTGATTTGTCCTCTGTCGTTGCAGGATTGTTTTTACAATATTACATAGCGTATGTTCGATGGGTAGACCGTGTCTTCCTACAGACAACGGTAGTTTGATTTTCGCGCCGTTACACACACGAGGCTTACGCTCCCGCATACGAAACTGTTGACAAACGAGAAACGCGATAGAACCGACGACGCGGATGACTCGTTCCCAGACGACAAGGTCTGAACAGGCACCGGGTGATACGAGCGTATGGAAACGTTCGCGAATACCAGGATATATGCTACGGAAAACTCGTAAACGTCGTCAAATTTTTGCACGGATCTCGGCGACGATCGTAATTCGGGGAGAGAAATCCTGACAGCGTCTAACCTCTCTCACTCCTTTCTCTATCCGCGTTTGTCTCTCTCTCTTCTTTTTTTTTCTCGCTTTCTCGTGCTCTTTCTGCTTGTCACGCTCTTATCGCTCGCACGAACATTTCGCGTGGAAATAACAAAAGATCGATATATTAACCATATACCATATCTGTCTGTCTCTCTCTCTCTCTCTCTCTCTCTTCCCCTGTTTTACCTTCTATCTTTCTCTCTTATTCACTCCGCTTTACTCGGTTATTACCCCGACTTTACGCGCGCGCGCGCGCGCGCTCGTGAATTATAACCTAGACGTCGAATTCAGCGATAGCGTGACGATGCACGATAATCACACATAGACAACGGTGCGTGTCCTCTCGCTGCGGAAAAATAACGTTCTCCTCGGATCGACTGACTACGTTCTCAATGACTACGTTGCGTCGCGATGCGTAACGTTACGTGCGTGTGTCCACTCTCCGAGCCGATGCCATCCCGCGAGAATATGTGCCTTTACTGTTGTCAGCGCACTCTGTCAGTCACCTGCAGAAAGTGATGACCACTCCACAATGCGTCCCATGTAATATTGGCCGCGTTTAGTAGAACAAAGTGATCAGAGAGCGCTTAGTGATTATTATCTATGATTGAAGCATTCTTTTAGATTTTTCATAGACCCAGAAGTATTTACCAATCAGGAGCGAGATTCAGTTGAAAATCTAGTAATGTTGTCCAACTGTTGAGCTGCTGAATGCAGCCATTAGCCGCGTTCAGTAGAACAAAGTAATCAGAGAGCGCTTAGTGATTATTATCTATGATTGAAGCATTCTTTTAGATTTCTCATAGACCCAGAAGTATTTACCAATCAGGAGCGAGATTCAGTGGAAAATCTAGTAATGTCCAACTGTTGAGTCTGCTGAATGCAGCCATTGTTGTATAGACTAACGTCGGTATTCATCATTCATTTATAGCAAGATTCTGTAACTTGTTAACGATAACGACACTGTTATTGCGCAAGTATAATATATAGCAGAAAAGATGGGCAACGATGCGTTATACTAATGACATTGTCGTTAAAAAGTTTCGGAAATTCTGGTCTCAAGTCAGCGGCATACGATGCTTGTTTTCGCGCTAGATTGCTTGCTGGATGAAAATACTGCGTTCTGATTGGTGCATTTCCGAAGATGGATGAAAATACTGCGTTCTGATTGGTGCATTTCCGAAGATGGATGAAAATGCACCAATCAGAACGCAATATTTTCATTCAGCAAGCAATCCAGCATGAAACAAGCACCGTGTGCCGCTGGCTTTAATTATAAGGTTGGTAGGTTTAAACTAACTCAGATACGTTCTGTAATTGGTCAGCTGATCACGCTTGCACGTTCACAGTCATGTATTGTTTCTGTCTATACACTTGGTTTTAGTTATTAATTTTGCAATATTAAACAGAGAAATGGATAAATTTTTTATTACTTATTATTTCGATTATTGAATCTCCTGATTGTAAAGTCGATTCGCATAAATCAGCTGATCAATTATTGAATGTATCCCCAAGTTGGTTTGATGCCTTTACCAACATTATAACCAAGATTCTAAAGTTTCCAAAATCGATTTTGGAACAGGTTTTGTAAAAACTTGTTTTTATTCTCGCAACTTCCTTCACGTTCCCTTTTTGATCGCGTGGGTCTGATTTTATATATTACGGCAAATTGTGTAATAAGTCTTTAGTCCTAGTCCATAATAGGTTCTGTGAGCCTTTAATCGTTTTGCCTCTAAGCTCTGTAATTTTTGCAAAAAGCGTTTTCTCCATGCTGCCTTACCACCTAAGATCTGTTTAGGTTTTTTAAAACTTCATAATTACAGTTTCAAATAGCAACGGGATACATTTTTAGTCGAAACACATTTTTGGTCATTGAACAACAGACTAAAGACCCGTTACATTTATTATAGGTCAGAATTAAAGGGTTGATTCATTTGTTGTGGATCGGGATTAATCAAAGGAAGGCGGTGACATCGCAACACCGTGTAGTAATCGTTACGTCTATACGAGACGAGACAAGATATTTCGCCATAACAAGTGGAATGTTGATAAAACAAAACTGATAATTTTGCAAATTTCACTTTCAAAATTTTATTGTATACTAGGATACAATAATACAGTACGTACAGTATAGTAAGTACAAGTATACCTTATAGTTTATATGTATATGTACAGTGTTTGTATTTGCGATTACATTAAATTGCATTGTATTTTCTTTATATATATATATATATATACACATATATATGTGTGTATGTATGTATATGTATATATATAAATATATACACATGTACATATTTTAGAATGAGAACATATAGAAGAAAAACAAAACGAGGAATCATCCCTCATGAGATATATAAAGAAGCGGCTGATGATGTTTTTAACAAAGGCATATCAATTCCTAAGGCTGCCAAAATGCATGATGTCCAATATATGACGCTTCTAAGATATATAAAAAAATTAAAACAATTTCGTGAAACTGAAGAACAAAAATCAGATTGTGAGCCTAAGACTGGATATATTCCATGTCGACAAGTATTTAATCCTAAACAGGAACAAACATTAATTGATTTTCTGTGGGATCTTAACAATATCTTTTTTGGCTTTACTTATAAAGATATTAAGATATTGGCATATGATTTTGCAACAAATCAGGATATCATGATACCTAAAGGATGGCAAATTAAAGGTGAAGCTGGCCGAGATTGGCTGGTAAATTTTAAGGAAAGAAATCCAAAACTGCCATTCAGAGTTAATGAAATAAATGATTCACATTTTATGAAATATACGAAATCAATTGTCGATCCATTTTATGATGAATTGGAGAGAATTTATGAACAGGCTAACTTTACAGCCGAAAATATTTATAACGTCGATGAAATAGAGCTCAGTATGCTTCCCAAGGCCAAAACTTCCGACGAGGAAATAAATAGATACCTCATGAACAGAGTCACAAAGGAAGTACCTTTGGTTACAATCTGTTTTGCAGTTAATGCTCTTGGAAAGACTGTACCACCAATGTTTATCTTTCCGAAAGAAAATTTCTCAGATGAGTACTTAAGAAATAGTCCTCATGGTTCTATTGGTTGTGCAAATCCATCAGCTTCAATGACTCGTTTTGACTTTTTTACATATATCAAGCACTTTTGTGAGTATACTGGGGCTACGACAGAAAAGCCTGTGTTGTTGGTGTTGGATAATCATGAATCTCATATGTCGTTTGATGCTATAAATTTCTGCAACGAAAATGGCATATTTTTGCTAGCATTTCCTCCTCATTGTTCAGGGAAACTTCAGCCCATTGAGAAATCGGTTATTCAACCTTTCCAAAAGCGTTTCGGAAGAATATTAGACAAATGGCTTGAAGCAAATTCAGGAAAGAATGTAACAGTCTCTGATATACCAGGCATGGTTAAAGAAATATTTCAGATGGTGTTAACACGGTCTAATATACGTACTGGATTTGAAACCACCGGCATTTGGCCCATAAATAGGGATATATTTACAGATAACGACTTTTCGGAGAAAAACATAAAAAAAGAAATTAAAAAGCAAACTAAACTCAAAAAATCTTCATTACATTTACGTTCCTTAGCTAATATAAGTGGAGTTGGGTCAGAATTTTCATCAGTCTCTCAATTATTACCTTCATTGGTTACGTTTCAGTCAAACATTAACAACACAAATCCTGACAAACAAATTGGTGTTATAGAACTTCAGCCGGGTACTTTGCAGGAATCTGAATCTGTAATGGTATTGGAGCTTTCAGTTGCGGTAGAGAATTCTAATAATCCTGCAGGCAGCAATTCTCTTCCTGATTCTGGATCTCAACCACAAGAAACTGAACAGATAGATGGAAAAAGAAAACATGTAAAGAAAGAAGAGACAGAAAGCCCTGCGGAATCGACTGCAATTGAAGAAAACCAATCTCGAGCGAAGAAATCTCGAACGAAGAAAGTCAAAGAGACAACATCCAGAAGAAGATAAATTTCCAATGAAATATATTAAGAATTTTTTTTCTCTGGTTAAATCTTATACTAATATATAATTAGTATAAGATTTAACTTACAATTGATTTTTTTATTTATTATTTTTTTAAACTGTGCGATTGAACAGTTTTTTTATATAATTATCTGCATTTATTTCAAAAAAGACTGAAAGCAATTTTGCTTACTATTTTGAATGTTCCTATAATAGATATAAATGTAAAGTAACATTTTGTTTATTAATATTTTTCTAGTCTTTTTTTTTAAGCTTATGTATTTTCTCAAAGTTATAATGCTGAAAAGTGATAAATTATAAGATGATTTTAGTTCGGCTTGTCAAGAGCTTAATATACATAAATAAACGAGTATAATATTTTTTTGATCTAAATGATCAATAAAATTATATATCCGTATGTTTTTCTATTTTCTCTTCCCTGTTACATTAGAAGTAACAACCATTACAGTTTGTTGTATCGTATCATCAAGTTTGTTTGCAGAGATACCCTCACTCTTGAAATTTGGGAGAACGCGCAGTCTAGATATACTATTGTCTATGGTAAAACCATAGACATAGGCCTGATCTACAATATGTGTCGTAAGTTGTAAGCCGTAAGAATTGGCGAATCACAGTCGATTATTACAAAAATAATCAGCTATAATTGGTCAGTCCTTACGGCTTACAGCTTATAACACCTATTGTAGACCAGGCCTTAAAGGCTCGTCTACATTAGCTGTAAGAGTAAGGCTGTAAGGTTGCAAGACACGAAATGAAATATTTTCATTCGCTGACAGCTTACGTTACAGCCTTACAGCCTTACTCTTACAGCTATTGTAGACGAGCCTTTATACCTCGTCTACAATAGAAGTCATAGAGTCGTAAGTCGTACAAATTGACCAATCGCGGTCGATTATTTTTCTCTTAGCGGACTATGATTGGTCAATTTCTACGACTTACGACTCTACGACTTCTATTGAAAGGTCATTCTACAATACGTGTCGTAAGTTGTAAGTCGTAAGAATTGGCGAATCACAGTCGATTATTACAAAACTAATCGGCTATAATTGGTCAGTTTTTACAGCTTACAACTTACGACACGTATTGTAGAATGACCTGTAGACGAGGTATAAAGGCTCGTCTACAATAGCTGTAAGAGTAAGGCTGTAAGGCTGTAACGTAAGCTGTCAGCGAATGAAAATATTTCATTTCGTGTCTTGCAACCTTACAGCCTTACTCTTACAGCTAATGTAGACGAGCCTTAAGCCTATGGTAAAAACAGAGTGCATCCTTTTCTACTTCTAGCTATATCCCCACCCTTGAAATTTGGGAGAACGCGCAGTCTAGGTATACTATGTCTATGATATATACTGTGGTATTACCTCGTTAATGGTTTTACACAAGATTCTTTAGGTCTGTTTTTTATCGCTGAACTAGTGTTCACTTAAGGAACATAAAAAAAATAGTTAGACATCTAGGAGTTAGTGAAAAGGAGAGAAGAAGAGAATAAGTGCAAGTTAGTGCAGTCAGTTCAGCAATAGAAAACAAAACCTATTATAGGACCAATATGGTGGTCAGCCAATCAGCCAATCAGCAAGTGGGACACCGCCTATTTTAAGCTTTTTCTTAAATCTAAGGCTTTAGTGTACAGTGGGCGCCTCTCAATTCAACCAGAGAGAAACCTGAGAGCAGCCAACACATTTTCTGCGACATCAACTTTCCGCACTGGGAAAGGTCGCCATCTGCATCCATTTTGAGAGGGGAACTACGATGGTACATCCACTTTCAGGTCTTGGTGATAAAATCTTCATGTGGTGGAAGTCCGTGCTACATCCATTTTCAGGCGGTTTATGTTCGTGCTGCAACCATAGTTACTATCTCTATGCCCGAAGGTCTAAAAAGAGCAGGGGGGAGTAGGAAAAATAAAAGTACATATTAAATATTAAATCCTCTACATATATGTTGCCGTATCAAAGTTTCCTGTATAATAAACGATTTGATACGTCTGGAGACGTATTATGTATCGTTGCCCGCGTCCCGTGCCCTTCATCCTGCTTCTCAACTCAGCATCCCGTCCGCTCCAGACATTCGCTCGTGACACTGACAGTGGCCGTCGGTGAGCATTCGATCCGCTCGGAGGAGCACATGTTAACGCGACGAGACTCCAATTATAAATATCCCGCGAGTCGACGAAATATTTGAACTTTCAAAAAAAGCATCAAAGAAAATCAGGTTGATGTTGTCATGGGTGAAATCTCACCCTGGTATATGTTTTTTTTATTTTTTAAATAAAAAAAGCCAAACGAATGCAATTAAATGTTATTTATTATCATTGAATATTAGATGAAAAGTAGAAGAGTTATTGTCTGCAGCGGATAATCTAATATTTAATAAGAACGAGACAAAATTCGCATGAGATGAAATTCCACTCTTTAACGCTACCATGACCTTTAATTATTCTCCGAAAATGGCGTTACAACAACTTTGACATTCTGTACAATTAGTTGCTAACATATTTTCTAATCGTACACATTCCTTTTTAATTAACATAAAGCTAACAAATATCCGATGCTTCGACAGAATTATTTTCTTTATTTTCAGTAATTAATAAGTAGTAAATCAATGTCGCGTACAGTTGAAAGGCCTTCTCGCATTCCCCTCGTTGCCCGGGAACCTTCGAGAAAAGAAAAGATGCCCAAGGGCAAGTCTCTCTTGCTTCAACCGCCGCCGAGGCCCGCAATGTTTACATCGCGCCGATTGTGTTGATCGGCTCGCGAGCGACGACACTTTTTGCCTTTGTTTGACGTTTGACGAATTTTCCGGGAATAAGAAGTCGGAATTTTGCGCTCGGCATTCACGATCCGTTACCATCCGACTAGTAATCATAGACACTTTATGAATCTGCAATTACTCTCGTATATATAATAATAATAAATTATAATTATAATATTATGTAATTATAATAAAATGTACTTGTAAATTCTCTCTATATACGGTGTAATGTTTTATTTAAGTTTATATAGTATTATAATAAATGATAAACCTTCACTAGTATAGAATACTACATGTATAGAATATACATATCGAATGTGCATATATTCTACATATTTTGATATTTTCTTATTCAAAGATGTTATTCTTATTATAATTGACGAAATGTCAATAATATCTAATTTGATTTTAAAAAACTATATCGAACTAAAACTTGATTAATACATACATGACAGCATTTTTATTATAATAAGCTGTGCTTGTAAATTCTCTTTATAGATATACGGTATAATGTTTTATTTAAATTTATATAGTATTATAATAAATAAATTATAAACCTTCATTATAGAATATATTATAATAAAAATGCTGTCATATATGTATTAAACAAGTTTTAGTTCGATATAGTTTTTGGTGCAGCCGCGCCAAGATTTTTTGTATCAAATATTTTTTATTGCATTGCTATAATAATTAATTTGTTACAATAACAAGTAAAATAACCATATAACTCAGTGTTCTAATAAATAATGATAAATTTTACTTATAAAAATTTATGTTATGAACATTTTTTGTAGCTAGGTTTTCTTGAATATTTTGAATAACATAACCTTTAAAAAGATATTTTTTTTTAATATTGAACATTATTAACAAACGTGTTAAATTTTTATAACACGATATAATTTTTAAAAGTTTATGTACATATATTATAAAAACTTATGTTATGTACATAATATATATCTTAAAAAAGAAAATAATTTGAATTTGAGATTTCTAAAAATAGTAAGTTAAGTATACAATAATCATATATATATGTTAGGTTTCTCAGTTGGCGCTACTGTTCTAATATATCACTTCTTTCGTACAGTAGAAAAGTGTTGCAGAGTTTTATTATAGTTATAAGTTTTACTTGTAAAAACTTATGTACACATATATACAATAAAAAGAATAATTTGAGTTTGATACTTCTAAAAATAACACAATACGTATTGCGCTTGTACTTGGCGCCTTTTTTTTACCTTTTTGTTTAAAAAGGTAAGTTTTATATAATATTAAATATATGTATGTTTCACATATAACGTGATTGACTTGGAGTACTCCGTGTGCGTTATTCATAGCGACGCATTCATACTTTCCCTGATCTGTTACATCGGATTCGATAATCTGCAAGGTACCTGAAACATAAAATGTGATATTCTCGAACAGCGTTCCTCAGGATTTTCTTGTCCAAAGAAAGATCAATGATGCGATCGCAAATCTCGTGTATGTCATGTCAACAGAGACATGACATTTGAATTCGGCGTAATATGATTCTTGGAACAGACGTAAACAAGTATTGTGAAGTTTGAAGCGAGTCTCTCACAGGCATGCTTTGAAAACACGAGTTGTTTTCATTTTCAGCTAACGGATGACGCAGGCATCAGCACTGATCGGCAAGATGGGGGGTAACCGTGCCTTCCCGATTGTTTGTTTTCGTACGCTTATATATGACTCCGTGATTGCGGAAAGGACAAGGATTGCGCCTCGGGCCGACGAACGATGCGCATACCGCGACGCAGAGTAGTACGAGTGTCGGTTAATACGCGTTTCTTTGTCCCCGAATCTTACTTGCGCGAGTGTTAGAGCTAGAGTCAGTGTCGTCGCCAGTGTTACGATGGAGTATCCGGGGGTGCTGCGACGGAGTAACCAGAAGGAGGACATCGGATCGAGAAGTCAAGATGGAGAGAGGACTTGGAGAGCGCCGAGAGACGTGGACAGCGATACATCATGTATGGTATTCGAGGTACCTTGAGTCATTATTATTACGCAGAATATTTCTGATTTTAACGGACCTTACTCGAAGTAAGGATATACCCGAGTCGAAATTAGATCAGCATTCATAGGTTATCTGAAAAATGATAAAATAGCTTGAGATTTGATTATTCGTTAACCTAATTTCACGTAACATGAGTTCTACTTTTCTTTTCTCATAAAATATGAATGTCTATTCAAGCAAGGTTGCTGAGGCAAGCTAAGGTTTATGAATACAAATTCTTAATTATGTTCTCAATAAAAAGTTGCACATAATTTAGAAAACTATGAATAATGATCTTAAAATCTGATATAAATTTTACAAGTGTTGATTTTTATTCGTCTAATAATGCTCAGATTGCTGTTTTCGTTTAGAATCTGCTAGAATGTCCGTTTCTCATTCTTGTTTATCTTTCTTATTGTACCGAATCTGAATTAAAATATCTATTAGTGAAACAGCATTATTAGACATAACCGTTGTCTTTTTGCAGCTTCAGCTCTTTTGAGAGCTACAATTCTCATCATTCTCATTAGAAAAAAGAAAAGAAAAAAAGAGAGAAGAAAAAAGGAAAAAAAACTTTAAGAATGATGAGAATAAAAAGTGTTTTCATCTCCCATTTCCTCTAATTCTTATATGATTATTTAATCCTTATATATTTATCTCACACGCAGTTCTAACAAAGGCAGTTCTATTTACGTTTTTATCTTTGTTCTCTTTCTTGCGCTGTTAAGCGAACATATAATCAACATCAACAAAAATTGCTAATTTAAATTAAGAATATAAGGATTAAGTGCATATACATTATCGAGATAAACGAGTATTAAATAACTGCGGAATACGTCGCTGTTGAAGACTCATCATGGGCGAGACTGCGAGAGTAGCCAGATGTAACGTTCAGGTAGGACAAAGCTTGTTCACTATTGCGCATTTAGATATTCTGCATTGATTTTTCAAATTGGATGCAATTTGCAGGATCAATGTAGAATTAATATTTCGACTCGGGAAAGACTCGGGAATGAGAACGAATTGTCATTGCACTTGGACAATCTTCTGACACTGATTTCTGGTATTGATCGATATTCAATTTTCGGTACCGATTTACTCTTTCATTCCTCTACAAGAAAAAAAAATTGATACGACTCGTTCACTTATCCGCGTTAATTTGATGAATAAATTAAATATTGACCGGCCTTCAATTTTCGGTACTGATTTATTCTCTCATTTCTTTATAAGACTAGAAAAATTGATACGAATCATTCGTTTATTCGAGTTAATTTGTTGAGTAAATTAGAGGGATAAATACCTGAGAAATGAGGACAAATTGTCATTGTACTTGGACAATTTTCTAACACTGATTTACGATATTGATCGATATTCAATTTTCGGTACTAATTTACTCTTTCATTTCTCTATAAGAAAAAAAAATTCATACGAATCGTTTATTTATCCGCGTTAATTTGATGAATAAATTAAATATTGATCGGTCTTCAATTTTCGGTACTGACTGATTCTCTAATTTCTTTATAAGAGAATAAAAATTAATACGAATCGTTCTTTTATCCGATTTAATTTGTTGAATACATTAGTGGGGTAAGTACCTGCAAGATGAAAACAACTTGTCATTGCACTTGGACAATTTTCTAACGCTGATTTATAGTATTGATCAATATTCGGTTTTCGATACTGATTTAGTCTTCGATTTCTCTATAAAAGAAAAAAAAAAGATTGATACAAATTCTTCATTTATCCGCGTTAATTTGATGAATAAATTAAATATTGATCGGTCTTCAATTTTCGGTACTGACTGATTCTCTAATTTCTTTATAAGAGAATAAAAATTGATACGAATCGTTCTTTTATTCGATTTAATTTGTTGAATAAATTAGTGGGGTAAGTACCTGCAAGATGAAAACAACTTGTCATTGCTTGGACAATTTTCTTGAGATTGATTTATGGTATTGATCTGTCTTCGGTTTTCGGTATTAATTTATTTTCTCATTTTTTATAAGACAAAAAAAATTGATACGAATCGGTCGTTTATCCGAGTTAATATGTTGAATAAGATTAGAGGAGTAAGTACTTGAAAAATAAGAACAAATTATCATTGCACGTGGGCAATATTTTGACACTGTTTTATGGTATTAATCGATATTCGATATTTTTGGTACTGATTTACTCTTTCATTTCTCTATAAGAAAGAAAAAATTCATACGAATCGTTCATTTATCCGCGTTAATTTGATGAATAAATTAAATATTGTTCGGTCTTCAATTTTCGGTACTGATTGATTCTCTAATTTCTTTATAAGAGAATAAAAATTGATACGAATCGTTCTTTTATCCAACTTAATTTGTTGAGTAAATTAGTGGGGTAAGTACCTGCAAGATGAAAACAACTTGTCATTGTACTTGGACAATTTTCTTGACATTGATTTATGGTATTGATCTGTCTTCGGTTTTTGATATTGATTTATTTTCTCATTTTTTAAAAGACAAAAAAAATTGATGCGAATCATTCGTTTATCCAAGTTAATTTGTTGAATAAGATTAGAGGGGTAAGTACCTGAAAAATTAGAAGAAATTGTCATTGCGCTTGGACAATTTTCTGACACTGATTTATGGTATTAATCGATATTTGATTTTCGGTACTGATTTACTCTTTCATTTTTCTATAAGAAAACAGAAAATTAATACGAATCGTCCATTAGTCCGCGTTAATTTGATGAATAAATAAGGTATTGATCAGCCTCCGATTTTTGGTACTGATTTATTCTCTCATTTCTTTATAAGAGAAGAAAAATTGGTACGAATCGTTCGTTTAACTGTGTTAATTTGTTGTGTAAATTACAGCGGTAACTACCTGAAAAATGAGAACAAATTGTCATTGGACAATTTTCTGACACTAATTTATGGTATTAATCGGTATTCGATTTTTGATACTGATTTACTCTTTCATTGCTCTATAAGAAAAGGAAAAATTGATACGAATCGTTCATTTGTCCGCGTTAATTTTTTTTTTTTATTATATATAAGTGGTCCGTGGGACGATTAAATATTCGAATACATTTTGCCGTATCAAAGTCTCCTCTATAATAAACGATTTGACATGTCTGGAGACGCATGATGTATCGTTGCCCGCATCCCATTCCCTTCGTCCTGCTTTCCTATATAAAATGTCGAATTGAAACGTATTAAAAAGTATTGACATTTTGAATATGTCTGAATTCTGAATCTTTTTGGTCCGAAGAAAAGGATTGAAAAGTATTAGTTCCCATTAAATTTTACTGCGCTAAATGCGAGACGGTCTTTTTCGCTCGGGTGCCTCACCAGGGAAATTTCTCTGGTAAGCTAAATCCCGTAAGGCCATCAGTCTTTGTAGTATATCTCGTCGGTGCATAAAGTTTATATTACCTGTACATACATATTTTGAAACATTTTCTTTGGATATTATATCAAACGGATTTTGCGTGTCACGTAATATCCTTCGGACTACACTGACATTATTATTTTGATCATTTTGATTTCTGTGGTATTCATTGAATTATCCAGAACGTGCAACTGCCATGTTGAACGACTCAATTGTCGTGTGAAATGTTTCGATTTTCACAAATTCATATAAAATTTTTCATTTTTCACTGATTCACAGAAGTCTTTCACTTTTTATTAGTTCACGCTAGGGAAAAGATTCATGATCGCTGTCCCGAGCAGCTGCAACGCTTTTTGTACCATCAATGACTACGTTTACACGGCAAGGTTAATCCGGATTAGTAACAACCGTAGTTAGTGAATTCTTTGATTCGATTGGTATATTCTTTTAGATCTAAAAATATACTCTAATCGGATTCGAGACTGCACTAACTACGGTAGTTACTAAGTCGAAGTTAGAAGTCGTGTAAACGTAGTCTATGTCGGCGCGCTTTTACTTCTCAGATTTCTGTCATTAATAACTCGATAATTATTGCGAATCTCGCAAAATGGTATAGGACTTTTATGTTTGTCTCAACCCAATCTACTCTCACATTTCGGATTGGCAGCTAATTACGGACACTTCGTATGATCTTCATGATATTAATCATACACAATCAGTCAGTTCTTTTTTTTTTTGCACATGTTAACATGTTAATTCATATTATAAATGCGTAACAATGTGCGAGACCGTGCTTGTCAAATACGCTATTATGGTTGTAGTACGGACATAAACCGCCTAAAAATGGATGTAGCACGGACTGCCACCACATACAGGTTTTACCGCCGAAACCTGAAAGTGGATGTAGCATCGTAGTTCCCTTCTCAAAATGGATGCAGATGGCGCCCTTTCCCAGTGCTGAAAGTCGGTGTCGTCGAAATCACCATGTTGGTCGCTCTCACGTTCCTCTCTGATTCAGCACAGCATTTTCATAAGGAATGGTGTATGGTGAATGGGATATTCATTTCCCCCAGAGCTAGTTATAAAAAGAAAGAAAGAATTCGACACAGCACGATTGGATATAACCAATCGTTGCAAAATTTTATGGAATTATTATAGACTATTATTTCACCTAAATTATAGCAAGTTGTAAATCTTTTTCATCTCTTTTTCTCTCTTTCTCTTTAAGTAATACTTCAGTAACAGATAGAAAAACTTTATATTCTTTATATTCAGTAGTACGACTGCGCGATGCAAATGCGCCTCCAGATTGAACAACTGTTTTTCAAATAGCTAAATTCAACAACAGGTCAGAAATAATTTTATTTGTAATATAAAATATAAAAAGGAAACATTTGAGATATTGTCACTGTTTTCTCAGATTATCAAAAACTTTAATTCAAGCAAATAGATAGTAGACTGACTAAAAATATCTAATATCACAAGTTAGATCACTTGTAATATATGATATTACTAGATGTTTGCTCAATTACTCTTTACATTTCTTGCTCTTTTAAAATAAAAATTGTAATATAAATGTCCCTTATTTCACACGGGCACGTGATAACACACGTATGACTTTGACTGTGTTGCCACATTGTCAAATCCAACCTAGAATTAAATTGTTTACACAGTAACTTGCATACACAGATTCATTGGTTACTACTCACGTAACATACCTGTACAGTAAAATATTCATCGACTCGCACAAAGTGATCACTAAAAGCATTTCCAACAATTCTAATATATTGAATATACTACACGAGGTATGTGCAACAAAATTTCGAAATTTATATATCTTCATCTAGAAAGCGTTTGCCTTTCATTATTGAAATAATACATTTTGATTATCTTTTGTATTCTTGATTGTCGAATTTTTTCAAAGGATACACAGCGCACGCGCATGCATATACACATACACACACACACGTGTGTACATATAACTGCTATTAACAAAAGAGATGACTCTGAATTATATATAGTATATTGACAATTGTTTTATACAGTATAAATATAAAAGACAAAATAACCTCAGGCTGTCCATTTTAAGCATCTCGTATCGAGGTGAGTACCTAGACACTTGACACAGCAATATCTGGCACCACAAGGTATGCAAGTGTAATTGCTAGGAAAACCACAGACAGCGCAAAAGTGTCTATCGGGGAAACGAGACGGTGATGCTTGAGCACAGGCATAATTCGGAGGATTTGGATTCACATTGAGATCCTCTTCCACTAATTGGGCAAAAGTTTTGCGAAAACGTTGTTTATAGTACTCTGCAGATCGAGTCTTCTTCTTCCTACTGGCGTCCCTGCTGTCCAAAGTCTCTTGAAATTTCGGTACTTTCTTACTCATCACTGAAATAAGAATGAAGTTAAGAATATCATTAATTGTTCGTATGTGAGGGAGTCTGTCGCGCATCTGTCTGGCCTTTACCCAAGTCAGCATGTGGATCATCATGAAAGTTATCTTGTTCCAGTGCCTCCAAGGCTTTCTTCTGTCGGCGTTTACGTGCGGCATCATCAAGCACCCTCTTTTGATATGCATCCTTGATTCTACCAGACTCGCGAGCAGCCATTCTTTGAGATTTCAAACTGCAACAATGATATCTTCTTCCTTCGCGTAAATGTTCACATTCCTTTCTCTGCTAATGGAAAGGATATCTGATCCATCAAATCATCCACTTTAGCTTGCAAAGTGTCCAATATATCGGCAGATATGAACAAATGTCTCTCGTCCAGATCTTGAATTATGAATTTCTTTCCTAATGCGCTTGTGTCATCCAAGTGCAGAAGAAACTGTTTCATAGCTGCATCGCTAAAAACACAATTTGTGTAACATTATACAAGTGTTTTTGATATTGTATTCATGTATATCTCAGGTACCATGTCAAAGCGAAGAGGAGTCTCTCTCGATGAGAAACGCATTCGAATGCTACAGATATTTTATCAGAAGAGAGAATTCTTCACATTGAAGGAGATCGAGAATATTGCGCTAAAGGAGAAGGGTATTGTGGTGCAATCTGTCAAAGATATATTACAAGCCTTGGTAGATGATGACTTAGTGCGAGCTGAAAAAATCGGCACTTCCACTTACTTTTGGAGATTCCCGGGGTAATATTCTAGACTGACTGTATTGTTTGAACTATATGAAAATATAGGAATGCTTCAATGAGCAATATTTCACAGAGAAAAAATTACTGCGATTGAGCGTATAATAGCTGATACCAGCAAGAAACTAGTTGAGACAGAATTTAGGCTTCAGAAACTGAATGAAGAGATCATGAAAGAGAAGGTGTTGCTGAAATTTTTATACGATACTACTTAAGTATAAGTTACATGTTTGCAAATATTTTGTTCTAATTATCATACCATATATCAGTGAGATACATAGTTGGATTAATTGCCAAATATACCTTAATATACTTGCACTAGCAAGTTTTCCAGAATTATTGAAAATATTTTCAGGATGTTCTAAGCACATCCAGGATGATATCAAGATTTTAATCTGATTTTAAAATGATCATTTTTTCAAAACATACTATCTGGAATACATTTATATAGAGTAATTTCTTTCTTGCAAATACGTCACAACAAGAATTTATCACATAGGAATTGAAGAACAACACAGAAGAGAGAATGAAATTGTTGCAAGAGGTGGAACAATTGACAGAAGAAGAGCAGCTAATAAAACAGCAAATTAGTCAGTTCAGCGAGATTGATCCAGAAACGATCACGGAAATGGGCAAGAAAGCAGAGGTATTATTGAAAAATATGTTGAGAAAAGTTTTGACCAAATAAATATATAAATGGTACTTTGACAGAAGTATAAGGAAGCGATCAATATATGGACGGATAATATCTTTGCTATCCAGAGCTGGTGCAAGAAGAAATTTGGCATTTCCGTAGGGGACTTCAACAAACAATTCAGCATACCTGAAGACTTGGATTACAAAGAATGAAATCACCCTCCGTCAGTCTTTAAATTCTCATTACTACCTCGTTACTACCTCCTTATTAACGCAATTTTTCTACAAACGTACCATTCGACCAAGATGCCTTTTGTGACATTTACCATATCTAAGTAAAGTATTTCAAGACTGTCCGTATATTTTATTCCTTTTTTTCAGATGAAAATCTCTATCTTATCCTCGATAATTTAGCTTGCAACTAGTCTCAGTGTGTCCATCACGATGTTCAGTTTCTGTCATTACCTCTAACCTAACTTTACTTTGACCTAACCTGATCTAACCCAACCTAAGTGAATCGATCAGAACTTTTAAAATCTGTATTTCGAAGGAAACAAGATTTATCGAAGTCTGTGAAACGTTTTACATGCACGCACACCGAAGAAGTTTTTGCTGTTCCTTGATGATAATCAAGCTATTTATATCCTTTTCAACGCTTGTTTACGATTTAAGTAAAATGGTCGTCAGAACAGTCGTGAATCATTAAAATCTACTGACATTTCCGTCGAGACAAAATTGTTGCGCTATATTATTCATTATTTTTTATTCACTTGATAGCAACAAGCCTACTTCGAAAACGACAAATTTATCGGATATTCCAATATCGCTTATGAAAATTCGCGGCCAAAATCACGCGCTGGTAGTGTCATCTAGCGACTTGTCTCGATGTACGCGTCGGTTGCATCAGTCATTAAAATACGACGAACTCGCAACTCTTGAGACCAGCCAGTGTTTGAGCATCGATCGAGCCTGTTATTCGCAATCGGACCGTCAGACAGTTAACGAGGGATCATCCGTGTGTGTGATATAAAAGTGCGGTAAGTCTAATAGATGTTTGTTCATTCACGCACGCACGATGCATATACAGCAATTACGTGCACGTACAGTACGCTGATGACGAATATGCGCCTTTTTCATCGCGAATTTCATGTCGAAAATCTGAGAGAACCGTCTTCGGTCGCGGTAGGTACCACGTGCTCGTTCGTATCCTCTTTGTCCTTGAAACTTGATCCGAATCCAAGTCGATCGGAAGTCGTGGTACTTCGGGAAAATCACTCCGAGGAGGAATATGCAGACGTGAACGAATATTCAAAGAACTTGGCGACCGCCTTTTTCCCTCCGTTTTGCGACTTGTCCGACATTGCCCCTTACGATCGCCTGACACTTACGTAATCCACCTAACCCTGGCCCTGAGCCAGTGTTAGATTGTCCTAGAATACTTTCGATTTTAGACTCTCGCGAAAAGTGCGAATTGTTTGTCTTTCTCGGCGGACGATGACGAAAAGAACGAAAACGGAGTCTTCTCGGGAAGTGTTTTTGTTTCCGAACGATCGGTCGAAATTTGAAATTTCTCAAATTATAAACCGATAAATTTAAACGATTCACTTGTGACATCGTGGACATCTAATGGTCTGTTTTTTGTAGCTGCACTGTTGAACTGGTGCAATAAATTAAAGTGAGACAAATATGGGTCTTCTCACTCTAGCTTATTGCATCAGTTCAGCAGTGCAGCTACAAAGAACAGACCATAGGATAGTGCCGTCGGAATAAAGCTAATCCAGCTTATCTCAAGTATTTATCGCGATCTGTACTATGGTCGATCTGTATCATTGTCGTAATTCATGAAGAAACCGCAAATCAATCGCAACATGAATTAAAAAATGTAGATAACATTTCACATTGCACGCCGCGTTCCGTTGAGTTTCCTCTCCCGCACAGTTGCTTTTGTTCCTTTAGTTTTTCTCATGTTCTTTCTAATGGTTCAACAAGTGACGTCACAGTGACGTCCCCGCACATGTTTCGCACACATCCTTTATTCGCGGTTACTTTTATTAAATGCCACTTGTTCGAGATATTTGAGTGACGAGGAAAATGTTCACATGTCACGATTATTGCGTCATGACTTTTCACCTCAATGTGTTAGTGATGTTCGTCATTTACGATATCGTTGGATTAAACATCGTGACGTGTTGAAGGAAGAGGAACAACTTAATTTCTTACATAATAACAGAACTTTATATCATGGAACGTTACAAAAAAATACGTGTACATCTTGAGTTATTATATTACAAAAGTATCGCGATTTATTGCAATTTTTCAGTATTATTTGAAGTTATTCCGAGTGCATCTTAAGATGTAGGAAAATTGTTCACGTTTGTATAGCTTATAGATCTTTACATAACAAAACATTACATAATATTATAAATATATCACATGTGTACAACTGTTATACATTATTTTTATACATATTACAAGTATAATCTTGTCGGTTGTTTCTTCATTTTTTTATGAAAGTGTATGCTTCATGCAAAGTATATATGAAAGATAAATTTAGAAAATTAGAAGTATGATTTATATATAAACATTTCTTTCATATATTCTTTACTCATGTACGCATTCTCTCTTTGGGATCAATGATTTTGAAATCATTTTTGCAAAATGTTCATCGCATTTGCCATAGGTCGATGTCATTTATGGATTATTTTAATTCGTTCAAAGCTTACTCTTCATTCTTAATTATTTTGACAAATAATGTTAATGAGAGATCTACTTCTGTGTAGTCAACTTTCTCACAATTGAATGTGTTTTTGCAGTTTATACAATTAAACGAAAATGGGTGTTCCTGCTGGTGACGTAGAAAAAGGAAAGAAGGTAATAAAGTAAAAGAAATGGTTATAAAAATAATACGTCAAATATAAAGCAGTTTTACAAAATGATAATTACCTCAAATTTCTTTTCTTAGCTTTTCGTGCAAAGATGCTCACAATGCCATACCATTGAGGCGGGTGGCAAACATAAAGTAGGTCCGAATTTACACGGTCTTATGGGTAGGAAAACTGGTCAAGCAGCGGGTTATCCGTACACGGACGCTAACAAATCAAAGGGTGAGTCGCCACTCGATTGAGGAATTTAACAAGTTAAGATTATGAATGTACAAACAAAAAATTTGATTAGGCTGCATTATTCTCAACAACGATGCAAACCGTCCCGTGTAGCGAGTACCACACACAGCCCGCGATTATAATTTTAAAGATGAAAATAACTTTCATTAAACTCTGTTAAACTAATTGATGATTAACCGACAACAATTTATAATAGAAATTTTCAGCCATGTCAGCTAATTCAATTATGATGTCGTTAGATGATCAGAAATCTGACAATTCTGCGTATGTTAGCGAAATAAAGCAGTTTATACTTGATATCATTGTCTAATGATGATTCTAAATAAAAATTATAAAAATAAAGAATATGAGAGGGAGAATTAACTTGTATATAAATAAGTAGATTCGATTTTTCTTGACGAAAACGTTAATATGGATATCAACGGCTGTCACAATTTTTCTAGTTTCAAAATAATTTTTATAAAATTAGGATTGCGAGGATATATAACCGTTGATCTTATATTTTCATTCAGGTATTACTTGGACCAAAGACACCTTGTTCGAATACCTAGAAAACCCAAAGAAGTACATTCCCGGCACAAAGATGGTGTTCGCCGGGTTGAAGAAACCGCAAGAACGTGGCGATTTGATCGCTTATCTAGAACAAGCAACAAAGTAGGTGCGCCCTTAATGCGCATCACGTGCGCACCATCGTGCGGTTAGAGGTGTCAGGACACAATCGCGCGCGCGCGCGCGTGCGAGATGCCCGCGCACGGCGGTTGTCACGACACATTAGTTCGATTATCATCCTTTACACCACATTTCCCTCCCCCTTGCCCCACACTCTCTTTTCTCCTTCTCCTTCGCCTCATCCTTGCGTTCCATTCAACTATCATTTCAGTCGTGTTCACGCCACTGATGGTATTCTCTCTGTTATCGATGGTACTCAGAGTGTTCGCGCACGTTCAAATAGCGATGAATTGTTATTATATTTATAATAAATATGTCGCCGTGTTGATAGTATAACATGTACATTGTGACACAGGGGTCGAACTTGGCTCGGCCCTGCATCTCCTTTTCATCATCACCGAAGATTATTCTTAGGTCGTTGCGTTGTCGTCCATCGTGCGGGTGATGGGCCACTCCGAGCGAACTTGCATGATCCGATTATTTATTATCATTGTGCCCAATTGTATCGTGCAACGTGTGTGTCGATCTGTAAAACAACGGCAATATATAAACTAGACAATTCCAAGTTTGTTTCTAGTTCTTTCGCGTCTCCACTTCTCGCGCCGTGTCACACTCGCACTAGCCGGTTGTTGCTTCAATATGTGCAAAGCATTTGGAATCGCCGGATTATGGAGAGTAACTCATTCGACTATTTACGATGTGATTAGCTGCTTTTGACACGCTACGATTTTCAAGCGTCGATTAGATAAAACGCGCGAACCTGATGGTACGTCGAGTGTGTCCCGGTGTTTTATCGCTTTTACACCCAAATAGCTTTCCCCCTCTCCACTCTCCCGCTTTCATATTATTGATCCCTTCTCTCATATATTTACGCATAAAGATCCTTGATAAAGGAGTTGATAAAGCGGATGTGGAAAAGGATGCGGTTAAACGGCGACAGGAAGTCGTCTTTGGGTCACTTTGGGAATTTGCTCGACTTGCCAGCGAGATCTTTCTCCCGTTGTAGTCACTGTTTAATGCCATTCTAGTGCGTACATGCGTACGTGCGTGCGTGCGTGGGTATAATTCAAACGTAAAATTTGTACAATCGAATACGTTTAGCAACGGCGAGCAATCGGTGTGGTTCGTGGATAACGTTCGGCTTCTCGATTGTTGAATTGTTCAATTGTAATTTTTGCGACTTTGAGCGTTTTTTTATCAGTAGCAACTATCAGCTCCCAAGTCCCGAGGGAAAACTATTACATTTTTGTATATGTGTGCGAGAACGATAATTTCTCACGTCGACATTCATAATCAGTTCGATCACGTATATGTTGTATAAGACGCATAAAACGCAACAATTTCTACGATAAAAAGGATTTTTCATACTACTTCACGTTATTAAGTAAAGTGGTGTATGCATTGTTTTTCTTTTGTTTCGTTTTGAATAGTTTCGAAAGAGCACGTATTGTTAAATTCAGGATTCGACGGATTTTTCCAAGTGTTCGTGCCGATCGCGTGGTGAGAATTATGACGAGTAATTTGGAATCGGCCGAGCAGGTGCTCTCGAGTGTCGACAGCAATTGTTTTCCGTCACCCAAGTGTAAAACATCCCTGAGGCTGCGACTGGGCCGCGTCTTCAGTTCGGGCGGCTTAAAGAGCCCCAAAAGTCCCAAGAGCGTGTCCAGCTCCCGCGGCTCGAGTCCCAATCGCGGTAGCCCTCATGCAAAGACCAGGTACTCTTGGCAACCGGGAACCTTCGCCAGCGAGGAGAACCGATCGCCACGTACGCCTGAGAGCGGCATCTCAACCTTGTCTTCGTCATCGTCGTCGTCGAAATCACCGTTGACTAATAACGCACCTAAGAGCCCATCTACACCGACGAAAAGTATGTGCTTCTCGACGTGGTACACTGATGGAAGGTAAGCCAACAATGACTACTTTGAAATTATCGAAAAATTAAGGATTTGCACGAAATGCATAAGGCCATCCCGAAGCTACCGATTGTTCTTTTCACGGGAGATACTTTGGTCCTTTCTGACGTATGTTTCTTCAACGAAAAAATATCAGTACATCGACAGCTTTCAATTGACAATTAAAATTGTCGCGCAGATTTATATTCTTGAGGAGGCTTATACGGTATCAAAGACTTTGTTTACATCCTCGATAATTATTTAAGAACTACACACACACACACACACACACACACACACACACACACACACACACACACACACACACACACATATATATGTACAAACTCGCATTTTGTCGCTATTTATAGCGCGAATATAAAATATCAGCGACGAATAATATCTCCTGCATTTTTGTTTTTTCTTCAATCCTTTATGGGCGTTCCGCTGACCTGAAACTATGAACGTGGCGTTCATCAAAGGCTACGTAAACTATTTTTACCTTCGGCGCGATGCGACGCGCCACGTCGCACCACGTGCTCGCTGTCTCTAACGAAAGATTATTGCCGCGGAGCGCAGATAAACGCACTTTACCCATGCATTAGCAGCGTTTGTACAGCATAAACACATTTGTGTAATCTCAGTCAGCTCAGCTCGTAATCGAGTTCCGCTAATGCGACCAGTATGATCCTCGCGTCACGATAATCGACAACGTATTATTAGACGAATCAAACTGAGAATCCTATAGTTTTAATCGTCGCCTCTTTCTCGTCATTTTCGTTTGACGTTTCAACATCGTTCGTGAATGATCAAATGAATACAGGCGTGAGAGTTCAACGAAAAACTTCGTTCACGTAGACGAGTCGTTGGAAATATTTTTTTCACACATGACCTCGACGTTCACTCGAAAATCAATTCCACGACCTTTTCTCTATACCGAATATTTATCGACGGAATACTTGTGCCATTTTTATGTCTGAGAGTGATCAAAATGAATCGAACGACTTCAAAATGTTATTTCGTGCATATTGACACAGGTAAAATGGGAAAGAGAGAAAAATAATCCGATGGAGTCCAATGCACGCTTTGGGATCGCGTACAAACCCCGCCTGATTAAATATTTGCGATTCAAAGGGATAAACTTGAAACTGCGGTTTTTAGAGTAAAGGACGAGCTTTTAGAGCTGCTACGTGCAAAGAAGAGTACAGCGTGACAGGCATGGGGAACCAGATTTTCTCAACGATTACACCAAGTCACGAGTACTTCCTACTTCTACCGAAGTATTTTACATCGATATTTTCGATTACTTTTCACCCGTATTCAGACGTATATCAGACGAAGCAAAGGAAAGTAGATCGATATATCTGCTACATCATTTCAGATCCCCCGTGTGTGCGGACGCCGTTGTCTAAGAACCCCATTAGGATTTCGACATTAGGATTTCAAATCTCGCGGCTATGACCGCCGAGTTCGATGCGATAATCACGCTTCGTGTGGCTTCCCGTATATTGGAAAAGGTCCAAGAACAAACGCTATCGATCGCTGATGGACCGGCATCTTCGTGTTTGCGCCGGCGATCATATGCTCGGCGCTTGATGAAGTGCGGTGTCGGATAATGAACATAAAAATCAGATAACCTTTGGCAGATGCTCAAGGTGCCGGTCAAAGTTTCGCCACCGGCGGCGGAACAACTGGGGACACGCTGGTGTGTCCAAGTCCGGACGGACTCACGTCGGAAACTTGGCGTACGGCGAGTGCAACTCGTGCACTCGGACGTCATGATTTGTACAGACTACAATCTGACAGTGCAAACAAGAAATACGGCCTGCTGGCAGTGCGGAAGCAAAAATACCAAGTGACGAGGAACGACGCGTCGGAGAGAGGAAGATACGTGTATCTTTGACGCGTCGCTCGATTCGCCAGAAAATTGCTTCTTCTGCCAGGCTGAGAATGCCTTCGAGTTTGTCGCATTCTGAGAGAAGCACGCAACGGATCGACAACGCCGCGGCGGGTTAACCCCCCGGGCAAAATGATGAAACGAAACAGACACAAAATTCGCAACGAATCTCAGAAATCGACGAGAACGCGCCTGTGCTTCTTCGCGTTGCGACCTTCGACTCCTCGTGGAGTCTCCGAATTCGTAATCAGTTCAGGGTCACGTTGGGTGAGCGAGGATAGAATTGGAGTTGGAATTTGAGTTGTGTCGCGAATTCGCCCAGAAGAGGCGTATCGTCCTCGCGGACATGTCAATGACAACGGTCGACGTTTTCCATGTGCGACGGATACCTTGGTTGCTGGTCTTTTTCGCACATCATCGAGGAACCGCGGTGGGTCGATGCAGCGCCGGCGCTGCACGACCACGAAGACAAGCACCCCACCACGTTCACCGTGCTGTCCGAACGATCGCGTCGACGTCGAGGTGCGACGATGAAGAGAGGCCTCTCCTCTCTCTCCTCTTTCCGCGACCTCTCCCTCCCCCTCTTCTCTCTCTCTCTCTCTCTCTCTCTCTCCCTCTCTCTCTCTCTCTCTCTCTCTCTCTTCCTCAGTTTCATCGGTAGTACTGATGCACCTAGTCGCCGTGTTCCGCAGAACGTTACGCGCCGCGCTCGGAACCACTGCGGAACACACCGCGTGTTCACATCAGCTAGAACTCTAACGAGTCATCGACGACAAGTTGAAACATCTTCGGACGGGCTCTAACGGTCGAACACGAGTCGATCAGGTGAGTGACGATTAGGCAGTCTGATTCGACTTGACAGGATCGCGTCCAATTCTGAAGGATCGAGGAACCGTTTGATTCTAGAACCCGGCGACACGTTTCGTGCGAACGTACAGACGTACGGTTTTTAGTGCGAACAAATGGAGAATAATACAACGGCCGACGTTATGCATGCGACACACCTCGAGGCCTCGAGTTCAGTTACGGTCTCTCGACACCCGAATATCTCCCCCGTATTTTTTCTCTCCTTATTTTTCTTCTATTTTCGAAACGTTTATCGAAACGTTTATGGTAACTTCATGGTAACGCTTCATGGTAACGAGCGCCTGTCATTGAGCCGGGCTACATTCAGCCCCGCGCTTGAGTTCTAGGCTTAACGACGGATCGATTCAACGTGGTTTTAACATTTAGCCCCGACGAGATCGGTCCGCGTTGAACGCCGCCGAAGCCATCGTAGCGGAGCATACTATTGCGTTTTTACTAAACTCGACACGTTCGCAGCGGTGGGTCGGATAAGATTTTAATTTTAATTTCTCGCTCTTAGGGTCCCTCCTCTCGTAACAACATTTGCCACATCCGTAAGCGACACGCGGCCAAAAGATATCGCAAAAATATGTATAACGATTTTTCTCGCACGTTACGAAACGGTGCTTGATCTTCCGAGCATCTTTCGTCTTCCGTCTTTTAGAGTTCGCTACAATTGTCGCGCATAGTACGTCCGGTAGTCGTATCGATTTAATCGATAATTTGCGCGGACTTGGGGTTCATTATCAACAAATTAACGTGATCATCGGCATTACACGCGGGAATATCGAGCCTGCACCACCGCAGAGTAATTGCGCGCCAACGAGGGTGGACGCGGTTCGAAAAGATTGGACTCTCCGAAGTGCGACCGTACTCCAGGAAAATCCTATGGTTATCCGAGTATGTAAATCCATCTTTTAGAAGTTCCGATTCGTCGACCGAGAGTGTCAGGTTTTCCAATTGTCGAAGTGTCAAGTGTCAAAGTTTTTATTGACATATCAAGAAGATCGAGAAAAACATGATTTCTTCTTCTTTCCGATTTATTCTTTCAAATGCGATCAAGCAAATATTATACAAAATTCCGTGTATGCGCGAAATTGAATCGATGCGATTTCGTCGAGTCGAAATTTCGACAACGCGGACAAGCGATGAACGCGTAAACGCGCGACGACAATTTTGCGTTGCTCACGTCGGCGATGTTTACACACTGTTCACCGATTTGTATGCCGTTTTTGCCAATGGCCCGTAACCTTCGCTCGTGCATCAAGTAGAGCCCATTCAGTGAAGTAGCGCGTGGAGGTCTAAGGACGGCCTCGAGCAACGGCCAAGATTTAGGGCACGGAATCTCTCGGCACGCGTGCTCGCACACGCACACGCACACGCACACGACAAATGCCACTTGCACATGTTCGCGATGATATCACTTCAACTTTGCGAAGGAGAGCAAATTGGCGCGTAATATCATGTACCTCATCCATCGTTGTTAGTACGTTTTTTCAAGAATAAGATATAGTTTTGATAGGAGCGAGATTAATTCTTCGCCTCTTTTACAAGACAGAAGCGAGAATCGCGAATTCAAAGTTGTGAATTTCGCGAAGTCTATTTTGAGGGGATACAAGAAAGCAAAAGATAGGCAAGGAAATGTGTCGCGATTATTGTTGTGCTATCAATGAAGGTGGGTGTCTGCGATTAAAATCCACGTTTCAAGTTACGTTTGAGCGCATGATTGCAGCTGCCGCTCGCGACCGTAAAAGATAAGTTACAGTGCGCGTGGAGAAATACGCGTTTACTCGCTCTCTATTAACAATGTGTGACATCATGATCACGTAATGCAGATTCTTACAAACTCGTTGGTATGGTTGCGCGTTATGAGTTGTGTTACGAAGGGAGGGAAAAGAGACAGCATAAACAGCATAAAGTCTTCGCGAAAAACGCGCGGGGATACAGACGAGCCCGCGTGTCCGCGAACGATTTCAAGCTGTTTCCATAAATAGCAGTTAAAGTTATTAAACAAGTCTGTGTGCCGATCGTACGTCGCGTCGTCGTTTCTAGAGTCGTTCCGACGACTTTGGAAAATCGCTTGAAGCTCGGATCGGATAATTCTAACGTTTGTCCATAGCAATTCTATCCTTATGAAACGGGAGAATTGCGCAGTCTTTCGTTCTGTAGTTTGGAAACTGTACGTCGCGAGCTCGAGAGTGGCACGGCCGCGTATACATACGTGATGTCAGCTCGCATCATCGGGCGAAAAGTAGGTCTAGGGAATCAGCTGGCCGAAAGTGGCGCGTGCGCCAGCCGTTGTCGAGACGCCCACCTAGCGATCGCGCTCCTGGAAACAGCGATTTCGTAACAGCGTAAACAGCCGCACGGAGGAAGCGATGTGTCGTCGAGTCGTTATATTTGTTTCGACATGCATGACATACTTGTTACAGTAGGTTCCGCGGAATAACGAGCGCGAGACGGCTTCGTAAAATGGAATACAATCCGATATTATGAGCTGCAGATTTTAAGATTTTATAGTATTTCTATTTTATAGTATAAATTTTTTAGTACAGATTTTAAGTAACTTCCGCTTTCTCTTCCTGGGATCATTTTTGCGTATATTTTTGCCTGACAACGGAGAGTTCCGAGATCATTTTTCTCTCGGATTTATACACGGATTTCCACGCTTCCAACTGGTGGGCCGACAAACTGTTTCGTAAGACCGATTATACTATTATTAAGCGTTCTTTACACCGTAATGCGCACGTAATGCAAAAGTAGCCATGACCGAGAATGCGCGCACGCGCGCGCGCGAGTGAGCGTTTAGCGTGGATAAACATAGCCAAGGTTGATACGATATTTACGTAAAAAACGCTTCGACCCACGACGAATCTTCTACAGTCGAGATCTACGAGAGGGAATATTCGAAGAGCGATTATGGAAAGATTTATATAGCCGGAATAACAACTGTCCGCGCACCAAAGTCATGCAACCGTGTGTACAAACATGTCGAGCTGATCATAAGCGGAAAAATGAGAAAGATAGAAATCTTGCACGTGTATCAGTTCTTCCTCGTGTATAATCGGATATATCGCAAAGATATCGTGTACCACCTTTCCACTTCCTTGCTTCCTGCTTCATAGAAAAAGCTCCGACAAATTAATGTCGCAGCAAGCTTCGGCTTCGCTGAAACGACACGCTCCCCCGTGGTTTCTTCTTGAGATAACGCGACACAACTACGATGGCTCCGGCTAGATAAGTCTTCCGGCTCGTTCTCCATCTCTCGCGGATGGAGTACCGAGAGAAAGAGAGATCGCATGTCCTTCCTCCGATACTCACTGTCGCTTCTCTTTCCGCGTATCGCAGACATGAAGTATTCACCGCAGCAACAGCAGCAGCAGCAGAAGCAGAGGAAGTCGGAGAGCGACGCTGCGTCCGTCGACGCAAACCTCAGCCGGATGTCACGACGCCCGTCGTCCTCCACGGAGCGCAAGAGCTCGTCGGCGTCGTCGACGCGGGCGGTCTGCCGCTCGCCGTCCACCGGAATGTTCGCCTGGATGCGCGTGTTTCGGCTCGCGTCAATGCTGCATCAGGTCGGCTGCTAAAGATTGCCGTCCGGGATGCCGCGAGACCACCGAGAATAAGAGAGTCGATAGAGTCGTATCTTAAAAAGAGTCACAGATTAATAATTAATATCGTACAACAGAGCGGTGACGCGCATCGCGCAGGCCGTGCGCCGCGCGCGATCTACGACTACATATACATACACACACACACACACATACACACACGTACGTATATATAAAAGAAACAAAATACATACACACACACACACACACACACATATGCACGCACACACACACCAATATATATACACATACTTGCACGGCCGAGTCGTTAACGTAGAGACGGCTGTCGTCGTCGTAGCTCGATCATAGTGCGTTAACGTGGTAATCACGTGTAGGCGAGTCGCGCGAGTCGCGATCGCCGCGTAGACGAGACGTTGAGAGAGATGTCGTAAAAGGAGAAAAAAGAAAAAAAAAAAGAAAAAACTCGGCTGCGCCGGGTCGCATCGCCGCCCTGGTGCATAAGTCGCGGTGTCGAAGACGTAGGAACGGTAGTAGGTTCGCGTTCACATGCGAACCGTTTACACGGATCATTTACCACATTTGCGTTGTTTCATTCTTTTGTCCGCGAATACATTTGCCCCCGTTTGCCCTTCCCCGCGCAAGCGTTGCTCGCGCTCTCCTTTATTGTCTTCCGTCTTCGGCTTTCAAGCAAAACCCCGTGGAATCTTACTATTCCCTACATATTCCCTATTATATTATATGTGGAATTCTCGATTCAGTTTATTCAGGATTCGAATGCACAATTGATCCAGCATTTGGACTAATATTTATTATTAGTCGCCTCTTTCCCTTCACTCACCTCGTTCTTACTTATCACCACCCCCAGGAAAGGTTTGGCGCGCGGACTCTGGCCGCACACGTAGCCGCACGCGAAGCGAAACACGCGCGCGCGCTTTCGCGAGTAACGTCGCGTGTATTTTTTATACACGCGCAATCCGATTATAATAGTGCCATAATGCAGGTCACATCACGTGCGAGTAGTTGCGTTGCGATTTGAATTATACAAGTCGCGACACGGTTGATGACGTGGGAAACAGTAACCGTCAATACTTTCATCGCCAGACGGCCGGAGGAGTGTTACAGACGACGACGCTACTCGCGAAGCATCGATACATACACGCGTGCACACACGTATACGTATACACGGAGGAGAGCGAAGCTGATTGGGAATGTTACTAATTGCAATCTTCCTAATGGGCTCTATGCCGGCTATATGCATTTGCGTGTCGCAAGTGTCGCAAAAAGTAAGACAGTCGTAGCGAACTGTTCTGTCGACTCGATCATACGGAGATCGTTCTTCTTTATTGCAGTGTGTTCCGGTAATGCCACTTTCTTGATGCAACGTGAGCGATATTGATCAGAATTCTACTCAAGAATACTCGCTCGTGTTGTGATAGAGCACGAGTTAACGCATGAACGAGCGCACGACTTTGTATATTCCGATTGGCAATATATCGAGCGTGTAATCGCGTTTATTCAACGCTATCGTTACCTCACGCGGCTTTTATGTTTAAGACAATCGACGGATGTCTTCTCTAATTAAAATTAATCAAGTGCATCCACAGAACTGCGAGAGCGAGAGTGCCGAATGAAGAGACCTCGGTCTAATAAACACAGAGGACACAACCAGCCCCGTTCTCTCCCGTGTATGACATCTACATAACTCAGTCATAATTAGTCGATCGAATGGATTGATCGAATGGATGATCCTTAATTAGCGCAATAAGCCTCGGAGTCGAAGGGGATTCGTTGGTTAGAGAGAGAGAGAGAGAGAGAGAGAGAGAGAGAGAGAGAGAGAGAGAGAGAGAGAGAGAGAGAGAGAGAGAGAGAGAGAGAGAAAGAGAGATATTTTCCTTCCATCGTGTCGAACGAAACGAGCTCGCGTCGACATCATCCGCACATAGATAGACATACACTCACATCTGCCATAGAGCGATGTGGCTCGTGTGTGTGCCATTGGAATACAACAAATATTACGTGACAGCATCGCAACATTCAGCTTGTTGTTTACCTTTCATTTCGAGATTCATAATCCTGCGCAATCTGCGTGATCCACTTTCTCTTTTAAGTTCCTTTCTTCTCTTCTTCCTTCCTTCGTCGCGGCCGTTGTACGATGTTTGATGATGATGTCAATACACCGCTGTGTGCACCGTGGATTCTATTTTTATATATAAAGATGAGAGAGAGAAAGGGGGAGAGAGAGAGAGAGAGAGAGAGAGAGAGAGAGAGAAAATGTGAATAAAATGCACCGTGTCTTATTCTTTCGAGGTATCGTGCTTTTTGTCACGAGCAGCAGGAAGAAAGTAAAGCAATAGCGAGACCCGGTTAACAAGGTGTGCGAGGAAGCCACGTGACTTCCCTCTTCGGGGAAGGGGTGTCCGCGATCGCCCGTATCCGATTACGTCCGATTTCACTTCCCGTTGATTGTCGTCACCACCAACGCCGAGCTCTATCAATGTTATATCTCGTTGATCGTTACATGAATATATTTTATGATTACGCAGATTCACTAATAAATTAAATATTTGCTTTAACTCGTGCCGACGCTGTTATATATTAATCGCCCCTGCCCACGCGCGACAAATTTCGGCGATTCGGGAATGGTACCTTGGAACGTTTCGTCGTAAAATGTAGAGCTGGTATGTTTTTAGCATTTTTAGCCACTCGCACTCTTCGTGCTCAGAGTGAAATGGATGTATAATGACGACTTCAAGCGGAAAGAAGAGTGAAAAGAAAAGAATATAAAAAAGTGCAAAAAGTGCAGCTGTGATGAACAAACCTGATTGCTAAATTTGTCCACGGTGTGATGTCTTTGGAAAACGAGACGAACCGTTCCATGTTTCTCATCATTTTTGTTCATTGGCGACTGCACTAAGAATGCAAATTCTTGAGCGAGACGTCGGCGGTAAATCTCGTGCGTTTATAATGATAAAAGATCGTTGGATACTCACTGAGATTGACTAAACGTCTTGTGAACGAGCCGCCATTGGAGCACTTGGTGAATCTGGATGCTCGGCCAATCGCTGATTAGTATCGCACGAACAGATCGATCTTCGAGAATCTCAAGCGCTGCGATATATCGCGAAACTATCAGCAATCAGTCACCAGAGGGACCACGGCGCGCGGCGGATTCGAGAGCTCCGTATTTTCGACGATTCCTGCCAGCCCAAGATGCGTCTCGCGCACGAATTATCGTCGCCGGTAGTGCCAGAAGTAAGTCTCGTGCGTTACGACAAAAGATCATTAAACAGTCACTAGAAGCAAATATTTCGCCAAACGAGCCATCGACCGCGTCGAGCGTAATCGTCGCGTAATGGCGGCTCGGAATTCAAACCGTTATGGCGTCAACCGTCCGAACAGATTCTCGCGCTCTAGATGCCGCGGGATCGGAAGTGCTGAGAGAAAGAGAGAGAGAGGGAGAGAGAGAGTAAGAATCGCGCGTTTTTCGGGAAATAAAGAAGCAGAGAATATGGCGAAGGTCGAACGGCTGAAAGTCAATATCTCGGAACACGAGTGGTCAAGAGCGAACCGAGAGTGAAAGCGACCGCGCGCACTCGTTGGGTCAACATGGCTTTGTATCGCCGAGTTCTACGCTTTCAACCTTGTCGAGGGAAAGTCGGTAAGTACCGATACAGTAGGTTAGAGATAACGCATGATAACGTGCGTCTACGACTTTCTCGCATATCTCGACGAATATCATATGTTTCGCATTCGTTCACTCATTAGCAAATATTAGCACCGAGTCGGTGCGACACGACACATTGCGCGCGACCTACCTTATCGGCAAAACCGTGCGATGAACTGCAACGATCGGGACGCCGGTGGGGGGCGGTAGTCGGCCGTCAAACCGTGTGTAACCAAAGACCCGGGAAGAGAAATGGAGAGAAAGAGCAAGAGAGAAGGAGGGACACAGCCTCTGCGCGGGCGCAGTATCTATCCGGCGATCCGGTATCGCGATCGCGCTTTTTCAGGTATCATACCGTGAGAAGAACGCGCGCGAGCTTCTCGCGTCGTGGGTCGCGCGTGTGGTTCTTTCTCCTGATATTCGCGCGCGCGCGGGCGCGCGCGCGCGCGCGCGAAATCGAACCAACGAAGACGAGCGCTCCGACGTCGTCGTCGTCGTCGTCGTCGTCCTCATCCTCGTCTTCGTCCTCGCTCCTTGCCGCGTGCTCCCACCCGTCATCCCGGTGAGAATTCCGCGGCACGTTAACAACATACTATACGTTGGTCGGTCAATGCGACTCATACCGTCGGTCCGACGATCGCGCCTATGAGACATGCGGCGACCCTTGACCCGCCATCTCTCCGAGGGTGGCGGCGGTGGCGGCGGCGGAGGTGGCGATGGTGCGGCAGACAGCGGCGGTGGTGGTGGTGCCGGTAGGCGACAACGTCTCGTCAAGGAGGGCGATGAGCGTGGCGTTCTGGGATACACCTGGGCCTGCCGCGATTACGGTCATCACCTGTCGTTTGGCGACCTCCTCAAGGCCCCGGCTCCCCTGGATTGTCGCGGCCGCACTGTTTCCTCGGAGCCTCGGAGCGTCACAATCCACAGGTAGGGTGCTTAACCCCGTTACCTTTCGTCCCTCTTTCCCGCCCTTTGCGTACATATTTCGCCGACTCTTTCCCTCCCCCCCTCTCTCTCTCTCTCTCTCTCTCCCTCTGTGTGATGTGTTTCGTTTACTGTTGAGAGATTATTAACACAGCGGTTTGTATTCCGCTATATATTCGGAATAATCAGATCGCGACATGTAAGCCCAGGTGTCTCGACCTGATATTGTCGATATATCGCTACCGGGGAGACCCGCGAGATCGCCATTGTGATTTATTAAACGTTTGTTGCGCTGGCTCGAGCCGAACGCTCGCGGCGTTACTGTTCATCCACAAAGGTCGAGTAAATATCTTTCACGCGAGTAGATTCATTCACTAGGATCAACATTGCTGGTAGATATTGTAATTACTATTACGACATTGCAAACTCTATTATTTAAAATTTTCCGATATGATGCTGCTGCATCAAGGATCCGTATATCGAGATTAGCGCCGTGCTCTCACTCTCTCTCTCTCTCCCTCTCTCTCTCTCTCTCTCCCTCTCTCCCCCCCCTCTCTCTCTCTCTCTCTCTCTCCCTCTTTCTCTCTCTCTCTCTCTTGTATTATGTAGTATGATATTATAAATAATCATTCTTGAACAATATTTTATTTGAGAGACGTAAAGAGGAGAGAACATATATGGAGAAAATATTTTTTTCACATTTCTTCCGTAGACTATACATTGTAAACACATCCAATAATAAACACACATACACACACACACACACACACACACGCGCGCGCGCATACACACGCATCGCAAATATATCCAAGCAAAATGAGAAATAGTCGACTGGACAAAAAGGTTGCGTCCATCATTTCAAAAATTTCCTCATCATCGATTTTCAATAAAGATTTATTCTATACTCACGCAAGTGTATATTTATCATTTTAATATTTCATATGTATGTTTATGTAATTCAATGTGACTTTATTGTACGTGACTATAACGTGATTCCTATCATTTTGTACACAAGTCAAACGCAGTCTTTCACGCGCGTCGAATTCTCGAATCGCGTACGTACATCACGCTCAACAAACTTCGTTAATATTTGCCTTACATAACGAAGGGGGAGGGATGGAGAGAGGACATCCTCATTCCCGACACTGGACCGACGATCGTCGATCGAGCGAGCGAGCGAGCGGAGATGATCGTTGAGTAATAAATTAGATTCGCTAGGTGCGGGAATTATGCTCGGATCTCGGGCTCGGGCTTTGGCTCGGGCTCGAGCTCGAGCTCGGCAAGCAGGGCGCATCATAGGGCGGAAGAACGGAAACGACCTTGAGAGGAGAGGAGGAGAGACGCGCGCGCGTTACCTCGGGATCGGGATGACCCCGCTATTTCGATTAGCGGGAGCTACTACGTTTGCCACCGGAACCACACGGGAACTAGGTCACCCGTTTTTAAAGGCTTTATCCTTCTCTATTCATCGCGAGATGAATGAGGCGCGTTATGTGTTAACTCGACGAATGGTAAACAAGTCGAGAAACGAGAGAAAGAGGAAAAAAATTCGCTGTCGACGAAATACTCTCGCACGTGACTCTCCCGTTTCTTGCTTAATTTATTTTTCTTGTATCTGGAAAGATACAGATCTTTTTCCGGGAGAAAGTGCAATATCGCGTGTTTGCGTAAAAGTGCAGTTCGTAATGTTAATCGTTTGAACTCGTATCATATCGAGCTCGACTTTGTGTTATATTTTTAACGGACCATTCGATCGTATATGAGGCACTTTGTGTACATAAATCCAAGAATCTGGGTAGAAAACTACCCAGAAAAGTGGGTAGACACACATACGCGCGCGCGAATTTCGAAAGAGTGAAAGGTTTCCAAGAATACATGTGTAAAATTGCAGAGGTATCCATAAAATATTGATGTTTGATCTCAATATCGTTCCGATAAGCTTACTATCGATAAATGGATTTCTGCCGCATTTGATTACCCCGTTAGCAGTAAGATTGAGTCGGCGTGATGTCATTACGCTTCGTAATATCCTGCGAGTTTGAAGAGAAAAAAGATGAGGGAAAACCCATCAAATTACAGAAATAGAAAAGGAAAAGAAAGATGCAGAATTAATTCGACGATACTTGGATATTATTCGCGCACTATTGTATGTATACGTATTAGATCTCAAACGACACATACGGAGAATATTAATTTCTATCCGGTAGATATATTTTCAATCTTTCTCACGCGAGCTGAGCTTCATCAGCGACCGCATGTTTCCCATCTCATCTCGTTTGCTGTGAAATTAGTATCGCTGCGAATCGACCGAAATGCAAAACCGTCCCCTCTTATCGGCATATTTCGAGGGAGACGGGGACACTTGCTCATTATTCGCTCGCACGGGATCTTTCCTCGTTTACGACGACGACGAGATTCCGGGGTCCGAATGCAAATTTGATGTATCGCCGGTGTCGCTCGCGCGGACCACGCGCATCGCTCTTGGACGAAGATTAATGGCCGGGCGTTAGGCGTGACAACGGCGCGGCCGCGGCGGTAGTGATGGTGGCGGGGGGTCGCGCAAAATAATTCCGCCAAATTTTGACGGACACAATGGGAACGAAATTGCTATACGAAAAAAAGCTCACGCGACATGCGTCGATAACTGGCTATTCTAGTCTCGACGCACGACGGTGTTCCGAGGGGATCTCCCTCATACGTCGAAAGCTTTGCTCCGAATTACAAATCTCGCGAGAAGATTATATCGCACGTGAGATAGAAAAATGAGGTTTTCGTTAGATCGTTATAAATGATAGAATCGAAAGAAAATGTTCAATACAGTCAATGAGATACTCGAGAATATAATAATTATCGCAAGGAGGTTTCGCTCATGTGTCGTTAAAAAAAGAGAGGAAGAAAATTATTTCATATATACGCGCGAGAAGCGCGAAAATTTAGCAAATCCCTCTTACATTTACGCGTCGTCTTGCACATTTCCAAATTACAGCTGCGTTATTAACATGGATAATTGCAATTATGATTTCATTATCATTAATGATTGCAATTAACTTATGAAACATATCCGTACGTTATCAATGCGATACAAATAATGGCGTATTTATGAGCGATCGTCACCCTTATCGACTATGCTGCTCACCCGGCATTATCTCACCCTACTCGTTAGACTTCCTGTTTCGTTACGGTACGCACGATGCGTGCGTAGAAAATGCGTGCCTGCATTCAAACAGCAATCTTATCAGACGCGAACCGGCTGGTATGACGGCGGTCGCACGCGCGCGCGCGCGCACTTTGCGGAAGGAAGGCAGGCGGACTTTCCACGGGCCCGAAATTTCCCGGAGGTTTTATCACGACCGCGACTTCCTCGAGAAATCTACCGCAAACAAATATTCTCTCATCGCTAGATGTATGCGCGCACTAGCCCACACATACAATTCGAAGCAATCTTCCGCGTCGGAAGCAAAACATAGCAAAATATACATTCGAATATCGTGAAATTTATTTTCGTTTGTTCCTGGATTCGGCGACCGATACTGTTTCCGTTGCAAGTCCTGACTACTCATCGGAATCCGAGAGATACGCGAGCAAACAGATAGAGATAGTGTCGCGATGCTGAGCGTACGTTGATAAAGTATATGCGACTGAACGCGCATCTGTATCTGTATCTGTCGAGGAATTTTTTGTGAGCAGTGTCTTTGCATCGCGCTACGTATAATCCAAAGATATTTCGCGCGATAATTGTGCATGATCGACCGATTTTTGTAGATATATTTTTTATCCCATTGGGTATACCTGGACATAAAAGTACGTGCGAATTTAACCGTCAGTTCACGTCACATACGAGAGCGCGCGATATGCGTTAAATGCGTCGAACGATTAAAAGTCATTTTTTTCTCTTATGTCCAATTGACAGTTCTAATGTCGCATGTCGCGTGATATTGGATCCTTCCGAAAAATTGCCCCGGGAAAATTGGCGCGATCGGTCGGGCGATCGCTGTGAAATCCATAATGCGGTCGACTGTCGTGCCTCGAGCAATCTTCCGCGGTCGAACAACGGGGCATACTATTAGTATATACGTTCGGTAACTGGTCTCGTGATTTTCCGTCGGTCCCCGAGTCGCTTCCCCGTGCTATTATCCCAGTCGAAAATGATCGGTCTTGCCGGCGTAATGGCGCAACGTAGAGGACGCCTCTAGACTTGGGGGGAGGTCCTTAACCTGAGCCTTTTTTTATCCAGGTTAACCCAATGTAACCCCGAACCACCTCCTAAGGCTGATCGTTCCCTTAACAAATAGAGATGCCACGATAAAGATCTCCCTCGACATTCTCGTCAAGGTGGTATCCCGAGAGAGAGAGAGAGAGAGAGAGAGAGAGAGAGAGAGAGAGAGAGAGAGAGAGTTGCCCTCAAACGTTCCCGATATCAATACCGTAGCATCAGTGTCTGGTGGATTTCGATCATTAACAATTGTCGAGAGTACACTCGACGCGTTGAAAAACGACGCCGATTGGCTCCTGAAAGAGCGCAAACATCTTATCGTGTACGAAGGACCATGGTGACTCTCTCTCTCTCTCTCTCTCTCTCTCTCTCTCTCTCTCTCTCTGTCTCTCTTTCGCTCCCTCTCCCTCTCCCCCCTGCCCCAGTCCTCCCTTCCTTTTCTCTTCAAGTGACTCGCGAGTCCTCCTCTCGACGAGGACCTCGCACGAGCGAGAGGAACGGAAGGCGGAGGTGGAGGACCCTGTGGTGGAATGAGCTAGCTCGTGAAGGAGGTGGTGCAGAGGCTGTGTTGCGGGTGGGAGCGAGTGCCACTGACGATGCAAGTACGGGCGGGCTCGTTAAACAGTTCTCTTCGGCGCTTCGATCCGCCGTCGCGTCGTATCCTCTTGTCTTTGGCGTTTGGCGATACGTCGATCATTGAGTCTCGGCACGCGAGGAACACGCGGAAAAGGAAAGTGTTCAGGGCGGTGCGCGCGTAGTATATCGGTTATATCGGTAGTTGAAGCGTAAG